TAAGACGGAGATTGTTTTTATACAGCGCCGCCTGTCGTCTCAGTCCTATAAGTGCGCGTCACCCTAGGGTTACAACAAACAAACCTGATCACTGCTATCGCTTCTCGTATGTATCACTCGACCGAGGCTCAGCATGACCCTCTACTGATATTTAATCAGATATCGGCCCGATTTTTCACCACGTCGTCAAGCGGCAGCCCAAGAAGCCCCCGTCGTGGCCGCTACCCAAGTATCGAACTTGAAGGGGGATCAACTTCAACCTTGACGCCCACTCCGAAGAGGCCCAGATCCTCTGCTGAAGACCGCCCCGGTACTTCCAAGATCCCTCGAACCGATGATCCCGAGTGCGAAGATACCCACGCCTTGAGCCAGGGAAACCAATCGGATGACGGCCGACACAAGAATCACCAACCCGATCACGACGAGCTACTCAGTGACGACGAACTATCGAGCGACGACGAGACCTACAGCGTCATAGAAATTATACAAGACGAGAGCTGCATTGCGTTTTAGGGGACACATGCTGTAAGCATTCTTGTTGCCCATACTGATGCCTCTAACGGGACTGTTGGAATAGGCCATCGCCATCTCCGATCCACCGTCACCGCAGCCGTATATCACAAGACTTGAATCAGAAGGTTCCCCTACTTCCACCGCAACACTGCCGGGCCCTTCCGCTGTCACAGCGACCTATGCTGAAACGGCTTTATCCAAGGTCGACGAATCTCTCCACTATACGCTCAAATCGATCCAGGACGTTCGCACAGAACTCGAGCGCAACGAAAAACCACTGAGATGCCGTCTTTCCACATCGCTTCGTAAAGTTGAATCTTTAGAGGCAGAGCTCGAGCGTATCGCGGACGAACTCGGCAAAATACGTGTGTCACTACCAGCCTTCCATTCCTTGCTATTGATCGAGACACGATCGATCTCGCCATCAAGCAGTATCATGAAAGGGCAGATGCCTACCAAGAGACCATTAAAGTCCTAAAAGCAAATATTACGCAAGAGGAAGACACAATCTCGGTTCTGCAAGACGACTTAATGCGAGATGGGCCCATACATCTCGAGCTCTTCCAGTTGATAGAAACGAGCCAAAAGATGGAAGGCGAAAGACTGTATTGGAAGGCGATGAAGGAGATACTGGCAAGGGGTCCTGACGACACATCAGTGGCGGCCATCGTGGACTTGTTTACCAACCTCATGGAAACCAACATTGCGAAGTAGCTCCTGTCCCACGGCGAAGATGTCATATGCACGCTCAGAATAAACATCTTGCCACTCAAGAGGCGAATACATAAGTGCGTGGCGAGATACACAACAAGCCTACCAGTTGCTTCAGAACAAGCCTCGAGAACACCGAAATATAATGCCCCAACCAAGAAGGCTCCATTGCCAATGGAGTTCGAAGGGCCACAAATCAAATGGAAGGTCAGAATCGCAAGGGATCGCCCGTTTCGATACAACAGTCGAGATCATGGTCAATTATGAGGACATTGAGATTAGGCGGGCAATTATTTGCAGTCAGGTCTTTGTCATGGGCCGTAATATTACTATTTTTGGGTTGCAAAACTACACAATGGGCAAACATATTTGTTTATTCCACCAGTGTTGTATGGCTCTGTCCTTTTTCAATCATGCTTCACTGCATGTATTACTATTGTCTATAGATAAGTTGTTCTACCTGTCTATACTCATCGGCATCGCTCTTTGTGATCCACGTTTGAGTGAATCAACACACAGGCAGTAAGGTACTGCGGTGCCATAGCTTGTAGGCCTCCCCTACCTGCTTCTATCCTGACTGATTGGTGACCAATACGTGATCAACCCAAGTCTTCTCCGTTCCTTTCATTGACTTACATGTAGGTAAGAAAAGCGTTGACTTTAATTGCTTTGCGGTTTTCATTGGTCGCAGAGCCCTCTTCTTCTGTAACACCTAGTTTTGTTCGACTCTTTGCGCAACTCTGTATGTACATCTCGGATGCACTCAGTGCCCAAGTGGTATAGCCTCGCGGTATCTTCGGAGCTGTCTTGTCTAACAGAAGTCCTTTATTGGATATCAGATAAACGATTGGTTAGCTCAACGATGGCCCTTGAGAGAGCAGTTGTCTGTGCTGTCAACAAAAGGGAAGATTTCTGCCAGCAAACCATCCATGAGGCTAAAGAGGTGGACCTCACATGCCTCCAAACATCAGGCATAGGGTTGCGAAAGAGCAGACTTAAGTGACCCTTGGAGTCTAGAGACGGGATCTGTAGTTCATATAAGACTGTCGTAATGCGCCTGGCAGGATTGACCATAAATTGGAAATGTAAAATAGATCAAGCTTTAGACAAGATCGATTGGCTTCGTTTCGTTTCCTGGTAATAGCAACAGTACCATTTGCTATACATGTCAGCCTTTTGCTTATCTTGATTCAGACTGAAGTCTATGAGAGGACCTATGACTACCTAACCCTCGCCTTCTTGGACTCCCTTTCATACTGACTGCTTTAATTCTTGTCGTCACCAATCGTCTAGTCTCCCTTTCTTCTGATGCTCGAGACGCTGACACAGCCTTGGAGCAAGCACGCACGCAAAGCTTCTAGAGATTCAACTTTACGCGATAGGATTCCTGTTCCTCCACCTTCTTCTTAATTGTCTCTCTATTTCTCATCTTGTCACTACAATATCCCTTTCCATTTCCTTCTAGTCTTGTCGCCTTTACAATTGGAAAGTTATTTAGGATATAGGAATTAGCAGAGACTAGTTGAAGTTAAAGTGATTCAATTAACATGACACCGAAAGCGAGCGACAGAGGTTAAGATGTAGGCGAACTCTCAACTGAAATTAATACTTTTCGGCTAGATCTTGATGTCTTGAGATCAAAGAAAGAGATACAGATTGCTGCGAGGTTCAATCAGTAAATGCCCAATTAATGAATAGATGCTGTTACAGGGTAGGCTCCGGGGCAGAGAGCAGTGCTGATTCAATCATAATGCTTCTGGGCGAAGTGGGCTTTGACTAAGGTCGTGTTGATTGGTCATATTAATCCCCACCTGCTATCCCCCACTGTGCAGCAGATAAAACAGAATACAGGCATTAATGAATTCTGCTCGACTGCCTGCCCATGGAATGCAAGTCGTAATGTCTTGCGTTCTTGATGGCATTAGGATCAGATACCCAGCTATAGTGAACAAGTTGGAAGAACCATCCTATGACTATTTCTACGGTTTTATGTAGCCGCCTGATCTGTGGCTGAGATGCCGCGAAATTATCCAGGTCGAGAGTAAACCCCGGCGACCCTTGTTAGATGCGCATCATGTCTCCAAGGTAAGACTTCTGGTATACTACCAGATAGCCAGACTAGATGGATGATACAACTATTCACATGGTAAGGATCAAGGACAGGGGTATCGGGCATATCCATTAGCCGCAAACCTGAGTCAATAGATGAGACAATGCTACAACCACAAAGAAAGTACAGTTTCACTCTGCTTTCCGAATTCCTGCCAATTACTCCATTAACCAATCGTCTGTCAGAAACCACAGACACATTATCCCTACATGCCCTTGCATCATAGCACACGAATTAAGATGATAGGCGGCCAGGGACATGATTTGGCCTCACTCAGCCACTTTCCGATGTCTTCCGACATCAGCTTGGCACTCAGCGCCACCGGAGTCAGCAGTGTTCATCATCCTCTGCACTCTGTTTACTCTCGCATAAACACGAACCAGGTATCAGTCTCCCTTTGTGTAATGGAGATTTACCAATAACGGCCCGCCGGTTAGCTGTCATTAGTTCCCGGCCACCAACAGGTTCAACCATGACTTGCTATCGTGATTTCTTTACACCAACATGCGACAGCCATGTGTTGGTAATGACCAGGTAGCCAGCCTTTTTTTATCCGCAAAGAACAGAATTAGTATTCTGATACTTACATTACGGCTATCAGAGCTGTAAAAATATGCAAGTCTTTTAGAGCCAGAGGAATCAAAATGAGTATATAAAACAACCATTGCCATTGGGAAAGTCCAAACTTGCGGCACAATTGAGCTTTTCATCCACTACGAATGTATTTCATGATACCGTGGACTCCGCTATTTCACCACCTAAAGCTCCACGTCTATCACCCTCTGTACTACACCGCGCTGTCAGTCCTCTGGATATTGGGTCTCATGAAACCCTTACCCCTGGTACCTCCCGTTGTTTAGACGTCATCGAGGTCTGCAAGGGGATTTTGATTGCTGCGATTTCTATTCAGGACAGATCCACCCACCAGGCATGCGTCATTAATAACTCACGCAATCATACCAATCCAGTCGCCAACACCGCTGTAAATGAGAAAGCGCCTTTCCAGGACGCGCAGTAATAGAGCGGCGAGGATCCAAAACGTTCGTTAGGCCAGCCTCCGCGCAGTATTTCTACGTGTCTCTGGTTCACTCTGCTATCAGATCCGATCTCGAATCAAACAAAGGCTCGTTGTGGAGCCGACTCCAAGCCTCTGGGCGTTGTTGTCTATATACCTGCTGGCTACTCCCGTTCTTGTCATATTGTGCTTTGTAAAGGCAAACTGTCTTATGATGGTTTTTATTGTTGCAATGGGATCGACTCCTCTCCACCGTTGAGAACCTGCGACTATTTGCAAGGCGATGCTTCGAGCTGGGTCTTGACGAGGCCGGGTGGAATAATGAGGTGCACACGCCTATCCTGCAAGCGGTCTTTCGTGGCGATCTATGGCCAGAGCAGGCGATAGTTGACTATTTTCCATGGTACCCTCAGCAGATCCTGTTTATTTGTTGCCTTTGCTGATTGCTTGATTCACAGTATGAATGCCTCCGTCACCCCCGAATACCACAAATTTCCTATCTCGCCCTCGAAAGTCGATTACTGCATATTCATCAACCCCGAATTCGATCGCGATGGCGGCGTGCCACAAGCCGCCGACAAACTCCAAGTCTCATGTAACGGGACTGTCAATCATACATCCTACTCCGGGCTGACTGAATTCCCCGTTTGCGTCAGTATCGAGACCAAGAGGCACGGCGGAGACCAACGGAGAGCAGATGTGCAGACAGCCACGTGGCACGCATCGCAGTGGACGTTCCTGGAAAGCCATGCAGGAGACGGGATATCTGAGCTTCCATTTCTTCCTGGCATTATAGTACAAGGCCACGAATGGAAGTTTGTCGCGACCACTCGGCGCGGCAACGAAATGTCCACAGTTGCGGTTGTCACTAGTCACACACTGACGTGTATAGATTTTTTGGAGTATTTTCCAGTTCGGAAACACGATAACGCCTGTTGGGGTTTTCCAAATTATGGCTGGCCTTCATCTGCTGCGCAGATGGGCAAGGGATACATACTGGCCGTGGTATAAGAAGCATGTTCTGAAGTTGGCAATACCGGAGCCAGACCTCGCCCCGCCGGCCGGTGGGATAATGTCAATAGAGTCAAGACATGCCTGAGGGAATTGAATCTTGGGCCACAACTCCCAGTTCGTTGAAACCGCCTCGCTTTGCTTTAAGTGGTGACATTGTAAAATCCTGTTCTGTATCATGTATGATCTTGTTATCGGCTGCAGTGTTGTTGACCTGTATGGGCAATTGTTTTTATAGTCTCCTGCCTCTTCAAGTGACTGTCTCTTGTCCTCTTTGGCCCAGACACACTTTAAGATCTTTGGCTGTACTGTCCAGCTATTAACTATGAAGTCAACCTCCTCCACAGATGTACGGGTGATGTCAATATTGGAAAAAATGCCTGGACCGTGGTTTGACCTGTAGTTTTTGAGGGGTTCTAGTCAACATATGCTGGAATAAGAATCAGGCGCCGTTTTGTTAATTTTGTAATGAGACTTTGTTGATGCGCCCATGAAGACTGTACAAATAACAGGTGTTGCCGTCTGCTGTATCCTACCGTTATCTGAAAATGGCACAGCACAATTGAGCTGCCGCTTCAAGTTAGATTGACTGATATTTCTGGCCAGGGTGCTGATTATCGGCGCTCTCCAGCCAATCAGAATCACTTTCACACTAAAGCCAGAAGCGTCTGAATTATTGCATGAAGAAATGTCCCTTGTCATACCTTGTTCATATTGTCTGATCTCTTATGAACCTGAATTGCCTTATTCTATCCTGTTTCTTTTCAGATGATAACCCATAATATTTCTGCCACAACGCCGACCAAATCTGTCCAGTTCCCATACGGCAAGGTGTTCGGACTTGCCAGTCTTTCGCTTTCCCCGCACTACTTGTTCACTTCCCTTGCAGTTCGCGGGGCCATCTTCTCAACCATATATCCGTTGCCTAGATTATCTTACCGCATTAATCCAGGAGACAATCAAATGCATCTACTATAAATAGTAACCTTTACTTATTATATACCAGACTAATAATAACTTCTCCTTTAATAATATTAAGAGATAAGGGTTAATTATCTATATAATAAGGTAGTAATATAAGGTAAACTAGAATATTATAATATACTTTTTTAAATATTATTTCCTAGCCTATATATTATAGCTAGTTAGTCTATAAGGCAAAAGAAGCTAATATCTCTTTAATATATAACCTTTAATCTTTCCTTTATTAGTTTTTTAACTAAATATACTTTTTAGTAAATAGCTTTTAAGTAAAGAGCTTAATAAGATTAAGAATAGCCTATAAAAAAATACTATTAAATATAGATTTATTATTAACCTTATTATTATTATTAATAAGCTATAACCTTTAAGTATTATTTACTATTTAAATCTAAAATAAAAGTTCTTATTAAATATAGTCTTAAAGTTAATATTATTAGCTTTTCTTTTTAGCTATAATTTTTAATTTATTACAGTATTTAGCCTTAAGGTAATCCTCTAAAACCTTTATATTAATAAAGTAAAGATTATAATACTTATAAGATAGGCCTTTTTATATAGTAAGGTATAGATAATATTATAATCTATAAGGTCTAAAGGCTAAAGTATCTAAATCTAAAAGGTTTAATAAAGATAAGAGGGGCTTAAGGCTATATCTAGTAAAATTAATAATATAATACTATTTACCAGAATACTTTAATATATATCTAAGACTTAAAGTAAAACTGTATTTAATATATATAATAGCTTATTTTATGAAATTATAATAAAGGCTAAATATCTTAAGCTTTTATATATTAAGTCCTTTATTAGGGATAAAATAGAATTAATACTTTACTTCTAAATAGGTAAGGGGTCTATTATTATTAAGCTTAAAAAAGTATATAATATAGAGTAAAATAGAAAAGATTAAGTAAATATTTTATAAAGATAATAGATATATTAGATTTAGTAAGCCTTAATAAAATTATATTAATCTAGAGTAATTAAGTTTAATAACTTAATAAGGGTTAGCTAATAAAAATGTAATATATTATATATTTTAGGTTTTCTAATTTAATAAGTATGGTACTAAAAATGCACTGTATTTCTAGCGAGAAAGATAGGGCGAGGATACTATATGCTGATTGGTTAAAAATAGGAAACGCAATGCGTTTCTGCTAGTAATTATTGAGTAAGAATGAAAATGCATCATAAATATTGTTGGCGTTGTTCTTTTTCCCTTTGTTGGTGGCTAGCCTGTTCTTAGACTGGAAGTATTGTTTTCATTACAGTTAATCCTATTTTATCTACTATATATTTAAATATGTTTTGTCCCATTTCTTCACTGTTCCTTGTTCTGGGGTATTTACTTGTCCTACCCTGTGACTGGCGATATCTACATGTTCACACGTATATTTAGCTGGCATAATACCTGAATCAAGCCATCGAACCAAGAACACTACATTATCTCCAATTCTCACATAAGGAACTGGTACCACATTACCTCCAAAAGCCACTCTATAAATACACCACTTCTTTCCAACTCCTTCTGTTATAACGTCCATCATCACATCGTTTTCACCAACAACAGCAACAACAGCAATAACACTAACATCACTAACAACCCACTAACAACTTACTAACAGCTCACTAACAGCTTATTCACATTCACAACTCACTCACAAGAATGGCAGGGCAAGTCAAGGGTAAGGCTAAGTCTGATAACTATCACCCCGACTCAGAGTCTGAAGCTGATAATCTTCTCTTTACAGGAGTGCGTAGATCCGAACGAGCACGACAAATCCTCCGTCTTATCGCACACCTTGAACAAGCAGATAGTCTAGGACATGCTGAGATTATCAGCAAGTTAAAGGACAAGAAGGTAGAACTCGCTTGGATTCATGGGTTGGCGCAGCTTACGCCCGAGAGCCAAACTGAGGAGCAGTGGCTCAAGTCTTGGGACAGGCGTAAGGGTAATGTTACTTCGTGGATTACTAACAACATCGAAAACTGGAGTGAGACCATGGCAGAAGAAGATAAGAAAAGACTGACAGATGTGGGCAAGTTACTCATGGAGCAGTCTTCTAGAGGCGCTATCAAGCAACACGCGGCTAACAACGAAGATCTCCCTACTCATGATGACCTGCCTACTAAGGCAAACGATGCGTCGGCGGATATTTTTGAATTGACACGTCTTGAAGAAAGTGCTGAGTCTTCGGCTGATACGGCATCTGGTCAAGGTACCGAGGAGAACAATCAACAAGATCATAAAGCCCCACCGACCACAGAAGTCTCCAAGACGAATGAACCCTCTCGGCATGTTACGCCGTCGACCCCAGAGAAAAGTCGGGACATTGAAAGAGTTTTGAATAGATTTGAAGACTATCTCGCACGTCAGGATATGTTTAGGTCTGCTCTTAATCAACAGGATAACCCAAGGATTATAGATAAGATCACTGATTGGTTTCTCCAGCGCCAGGCACTTCGCGCGCGAGATGAACGAATTGCTCGAGATCGGGGATACGGCATAAAGTGGAGAAATGAGAAGGCTGATCTGTATCCGCTGGACAAAGCAGTTAGACGGGCTGAGAAGGAGAAGGCGAGGGCTATGGGGAAGAAAGTTCGGTGGGATTTGGATGGAGCGAAGTTTGAGTGATACTGTTGCTAGGCTGGCTTTGGGATTAGGGCTATAGATAGATAAGTCTTGTTTTGCTATTTGTAGAAAATTGCGTTAAGGCATAGGAACCTATATCTATCATGGTATTCATGCATATATCCACGATTGTGCACATGTTTGTGTGCATGGTCTCGTTACAAAGATCAGAGTGGGGATCAATACATATAGACAAATACAGACATTGGCGCATACCAGGATGTCAAGTAGAACTAAAATATGAACATGAATTGCAGCAATAACATAAAGACTGGCTTGATTCTATGCAATGATGGGTATATGACGGTGAATGACGACAGGTATAAGATCTGGGTTAGGGGTAAGGATATGGGCGTGATTGCGCACCGTATGAGTGTCTGATATTGCTGGCCAGTGAGGACAACGGCGTGACAGCAAGGCTGAACAAGCACGTCTTGATGCCAATGTCCATGCTTGACATCAACGCGACAGCATGGACGTGTCTGTCCGCAGATAGAGCGATATGAGGAAGACGGGATCACGCTCGCACACCTGACGTCACTGACGCAGAGATGGTGGTGGAATAGAGTCAGGGACCCTGGTCTACATCGACACTGCGACAGTAACGGGATCGCGCTCCCGAAACCGAGGAACTACTCGAGTGAGCTGCTGACCATGAATGCGAGACCACCTATGATCGTGCGCAACTCGTGGGGCTCGTTCAAGCACTCATGCATGGGATCGGACGAAATTTTCTGCGTGACCAAACCGAGGACCTTGCACACGAAGTTGCGTACAATCGATCTCTTGTATAAGGACGGGAAGCTGTACGAGAGCGAAGACCATAGCAACTGGTCAGTCTCATACAGAGTTCTGCGGGCATAGTTAATGAGAGATAGCAAACCCTCAGAGACAGTAGGGAAAGTCTTAATGGCAAGGCTGGTCTGACTTCTAGTGCACAGTGTACTGACTCTATTCCCTACTGGACTTGCGAATAGAAGACGGTGGTATAGTCTTTCGAGGGGTTTAACAATTAAACAACGGCTTGGGCGAAAAGTCTCGAACTTTGGCAAGAGGAGAGTGATGGCCCTTGGGAGAGACATACTCGCCCTTGCAACGATAACGAATGCGATCACGCTCGTGACCCAGGTCTTCCTTAGAGAATTTGCTACTAAATTTAGCCACCCCATTATAATTCTCTAGCCAACAACCCTTTTCATCGAACCTTTCTCAGGTCTCGGCTTCGGACAAAGTGGTTATACGGCAGCCGATGCAGTCGCATCTAAAGCAGCTCTGTTGGCTCCAGTAGTTATATAACCAGAAAAGGCGGTAAAGGTAAAGGGAATTACTGTTCTAGTAGTTGACTTATACTTTCTTTTCTAGTAAAGTTCGCATCTGGACCATCTTTGGCCGCCATTCAACGTAATCTTGTCAAAGGGTGTCTGTTGATGCAAGCTCATTGATAACGCCGTACGATGCGCCACGCCCAAGATAGGTCTGGGGTGCGACTGATCTATTCGGAAACATCGATGATTACTAGTGACGTATCCTTGGTAACAGAACGCTTGTTTCCTCCTGTGAGATCAATGACGTATTGACCAAAGATGACACTGATGGCCTTGAGATATCTACGGGCTGTTCCTCTTGAGCCTCAATCTCACAGCAAGCCTACAGATAAAATAATTGTTAATTTAAATACAATAAGTAGAATATTTAGATAGTATAGCAATGTTTCTATCTATGGGACTGAGCCGTACCGTTTAAACGAGAGAGTGCTATAACAAATAGGCGTAGTGAACTGTCTTATGTAGAGTCCCGAAATCTGAAGCGGATGGGAGCTGCTGTTGCTGTTGGAGAGAATCAGTCGGCCGGCAACGGCGACTTTGCAACGAACCCATCTACGACGGCGTCAATATTACTTTCCAAGCACAACACATCAGCTTCTTCCTCTTGATACAGCATATATTCTCATCATGCATCAACATAAGGAGCAAGCACGGAAGCTCTGTTCTGTCGGATTGCTGGACATGCGCGGGGCAGACACTACCAATCTGCATCTCCCCGTCTATCACATCTCGCCAGACACTAGCCAGTGCGGGACGCACTGGAAGCATTTTCTTTTGGTGCAAAGTTATCGGGTAGCGCAGATTAGACACGGGAAGCATTGGTAGGAGAGGGGAACAAAACAAGTAAAACAAATAAACGATATGTGATCGGTGCATGTCTCTTGTGGATTTCCCTCGTTACTCTCTGCTCTGTTCTGTCTGCAATATTTTGGTCTTCTGTTCATGAGAATACTGCCTATTTCCAGAGTATCTACAGTATACTCCTAACCAGCTCATCTATCTATGCCTTCTACGACCGTTTGACTCTACTCTCTGCTCTTTCGAGGTTTACCTTATTTCTCTGTAGTAGAAAGGCCATTGCTTTCACTTTTAGCACACCTCTGCTCCGTTCATATCATAATCTACAAAAGCCGCCCCATTTCCATCAGATCTCTCATCATAGCTTCTGATGACGATTTCCAATGCGAGGTATGTAGTACGTGGTATTCGCTTTCGAACTGGTAAAAGCACGTGAAGCAGGGATGTTAACAGTGCGGATAGTGTCAGAGATTCTACTCTGACTATGAGGAGCATGCCGCGTTATACCATAGGCGGGTCTTGCACAAATGTCAACTCTGCTGGCGCGTATTCATGCGCGCCGGAAACTTGCGAAGGCATCTAGATGAGGGGCAGTGCGAGCCTTGCTTGCTTGGCTTTGGTCGGTCCCATACCAGGGGCAAGCAAGGAAGATCGCACCACGAGAAGAACTATCTGGTGTATGCGGACTGAGGCAGCCACATGCACCCCCTGTAGTCTCCGGCAATTGAATTAACGATGGAGGACAGGCAAATACGTAAGAAACTAGACAATACTTTGACGAGCGAGTGATCAGTGCTGATTGTTTGCAGCGATGCCGACGGAGTGGACGTGCCAGTTGATGAAGATGTAGGCACCTCAGGCCTTATGACCCAGTACCTCGGAAATTATTACCGAATACAGCGTCCAAGCTACTGCTGCCATAGAACAGGCAAGCCAGGAATTCGCATTGCAGCGAGACAGGGCACCTGAAAACTGTTGATCCAAGTCAGACGCCCCGGCTATGCTGGACCTTCTGATAAAGGTCTCTGTTAGATGAACCGTCACAGCGGCCGACGCATGGAACCCAGACTTCACAAGCCGGGCGATTGTGGTATGTGCTATAGCCGAGGCGGTGGAGATATTCCATCAGCGTCACTTCGTATCCCTGTTCTCGTCAAAAAGCCAGCAAGTCCTCCTCATCTCGGATGACGATATCCAACCCTAAGATACCCACAGCATGAGAGATTCGCTTGACCTTTATAACTTGAGAAAGCCTCTGGAGAAAGATAAGGATAGACATTCTATCAACGTGCACATGCCCGTTAGATATCCCTTAGGAGATGCCATAAGGATCTTTAACGAGCGGAGGACTAGCGGCGGCCTACCTGTTAACCCGCTTAACCTTGGCTGTCTGAAAGAAAATGCGGTTCCGGCTTGTTTGTAGAACAACGGAGACTGCGACCTGATGCGCACGCGCACGGACAACGGCAAGTTGAAGCAGCCGGAGTGGCGCGATATGGACGACTGCTTGGTGTTCTGCCTCCTTACGTCTAAGGGCCCTGCGCATCTGCAGCATGTCGATCGTCATGGCGTCTATACCATGGCGTTGATGGAGGAAGGGAGGATGCTGTGGCTGGTCTGGCCGGGTCTGGAGCTGGAGGATCCGGAGACTTATAAGTTACCCGACGGAGGCGTTGCGATCTTGATAGATGAAGTGGATATGCTGATCCAGCCGCCCAGCAACTTGCATGCACCTATCACGCTGGCGGATACGTTAATGACGGGGACGATGCACTGGTATAGCTCCCGCTTGCTTGATATACTATGCCACACCAGAGCACAGGTTAAAGACCCGATGTTGACGAATGAAACCATCGCAAGACAGTTTCTCCCCAAGATGAAGAGTATCCTCTAGCAGTAAGGGTTTATGCCAATGGGAACGGCGTCGAGATCGGCAATAAGCTTATAGATTCTCACGGATCAAATTCACGGTCGAGGACATCATTACCGGCGAGAGGCCCAAGCTGAACATGCTCATGTCCAGGAAGACGTTAGCTCAGGCATAATGTCGCGCATAAGACCGCATCCGTATCCGGAGATACCCAAGAACACCAGCGTGCTAATAACCATAATGTGGTAGGAGATGCCGAATGAATAAACAGTCGGGATCTCGTGTATAACCGTGATCACGTCTGCTTGACTTATGGAGTCCTCAGACCTCCCTGAAAAGTACAGAACGCATCCGGACTTATTCGCGATCGACTTGATGTGCTTGGACAAGTCCCTATTCAGGTCGTAGGGCACAGTCCTCTTTAAAGGCCCGTTCCTCTCGACCCTCATGACGTCGAAGTTTGGTAGATCGGAACATATCAGCTTGTCATCTTATGAATCTCCTGGAGCCTGCCGGCACTAAACGATATGATCCTGTGCTTGCCAATGGACGCGTCCATCATGGCGGCATTGCAAGCACTGTCCTCTTCATTGTTAAAGGGAAGCAGCATGTGCTATGCTTTAATATCCTCTTCATGTTAGCAATCAAGTAGCACTGTAGTTAGACGTCCTTTACAAGCACTTGTGTTGTGAAGCAATACAACGGCATGATATAGTTGTTTCTATATTGGCTTGGGAAATATAGACCTCAACTTGGTCAACCCCGGAGCTTGACCTAATTGTGTAAAAAAAAGATTTAAGCAGCATAGTAAAATATCGACAGAGAAGTTAATAAAACCAATTTTAAAATATAACCAAAGCTTAATTCTCTAAATATACCTTCCAGATATCCTTTACTAAGGCACTGGTCTTAGATTTCTCGCATCACGCGCAGTATATATGCTCTGTTAGCGATGTCAAGACCCAGTCCGGCGATTTCCGTCCGAAGCAGATCAGCGCTGTTAGCTAATCTTGTTTCTTCAGTTTCCCAGTCGACAAGCCTCTGGTGAAACTCTCTAATTTCGCAGCATTTGTCCTTATCCTTAGTACATTCTTCGAGATGATCGGTTGACTGAGCACGAATTCCCTTAGCTTTGTAGCGAAGCTTGTAGGCTTCACGACGAGATTTGAGACCCTTCAACTTCTCCTGCACCTGCGTCAGTTCTTCTTCCATTTTCTTCTTCGATTTAAAGTCCGTATCTCGCGCGGCCCGGATTTCGGATTCAACGAGCCGCTTAAAGCCATCCCGTTTGAATTTTCGGAGGTCCTCCATGAGCACCGTATCATTTGTATCCCACTCAGCGGGATAGTAAAAACACTCATCAATAAGCGCATCTCCAGGCTCAAAGCCATAGACAATAATTCTAGCCAGTTCGACGGCGTCCTGTAAAGTTGAGTTAGCAGGTTGACGTATATTTTGGTGGTGGAATACTAGTATCTGCCCGGCACGACAATAAAGTGCGTGCGGTGAGGCAGACATATCCATTGTAAGATATGGAGGGGGTTAGTATAGGTACTTTGGTGGTGCTGGATTGTCTTTAAGGCAAGCGAATGAATTGCCGGAACACAAGAGGTAAGAGAAGCAAAACGTGCTGTCTGCTAGATAATTCTTATTTTCTTTGCTGCAGGTTTTCCTGTATTTATGCAAAATACTCTTAGTATGTGATTCACTGACCTAATAATGTGTGTTCCAAATCTTTGCTCTGGTATATTTATGTTCTATAATATATACTATTCTTCTTTGTTTAGAGTTCTTTTCAGTATCATAAGTATAACTAGTCACGGCAAACATAATACAGCTAGGATTTTGTACTAGAGACAAAGCACATGTTCAAGCTTTTAATAAACATTAAACGATATTAATTATAATACCTACACTTAAAACCCTTTGTTTCCTTTCTACGTAGCTGCTCTGCTTGCAGAACCTAGCAGTAAGTGTATATAATACTTAGGTAACAGCTTAAGATATGATTGCAAATTCCCAATAGGCAATAGGCAGTTTATTACAACTATGTAGCGCCTCGTGCTATAGATTAGTTAGAAATCTTTGCATAATATCCTAGTTATTAGCTAGATTTGTTGTTTGCAGCTGAGGGTTGTAGCTGAGAACTTAAATTAGTACAAAGAACTTAGGGACTGGGTAGCTGCACTGCAAATCGCAAAGCGAACAACTATCAGCAACACATATTCGCTCACTGAACATGTCCACAGGACATTAGGACAAGCTCAGATGACTTCACGCATGCCCCTCGCTTTTAATGCCGCAACGAAATTAGGGGCCTGCTACGTTATCCAATAGGCACCATGGATTCCTAACACCCCAAGCTTGAGATAAGAGCACTTAGGAACAGAGGGAGTTATTCTTCTCGATATCTTATTCTCCAAGCTCGTAGTCAAGCATCATCTCTCCAGTTAGTTCTACTATTATAGTGCTCTTATTATACTCCCATAAGAGGCCCTTTCCGTCGGGTTACAGAGTATACGAGCTTTACTTCGCATAAACTAGTTCCCGGTGCGGCGATCTAAGGACGTGTTGCTCCTAAGAATGTATACAATGTGCTATTAGCATGCCAGCTCGTACAAGGCGGGTATCATCAGGATCGTATTAGAATTTCGGCTGATAGTGATTTTGCTAAGAAGTCTGCCTTTATGAAACAGTAAATCTGAGGTTTGCGCAGCATAGTTGCCGTGAACGCCTTTCAATTTGAGGCTCAATTGGGGTTGCCGACTACATAAACGACCAATGGTTAGTTCAGGGTTCAACCATTTACTACGGAAGGTATATATAAAACCCTACTTGCCGGACGCTTGCGAACTCGTTGCTTGTCTCTGAGCTCAGATCTTCCTCAGGATGAAGTGTCAGAAAGACCTTGTCGCCTGCCAGATCTTCTAGTGGACGACGCTCTGAGTCTATGCAGAGACAACCGTCGTTGAGAAGGTTGATGAATGGTACATCGACAGACCGGTCGAGCGTTTTGGCGGCACTGGTCCCCCGAAGGAATGGGATATCCAAAAAGTCCGCTTGTGGCTTCAGGACACCTTGTCTGAGTTCTAAGAGGCATCTTTGTCCAGCGATGTTCTTGAGGCAATTCAGCAAAAAGAAGTGGCCCATCATCAACCTGCAGCCGCTAACATCGAGGCCTCTGGCGTTTGTGGACTTCGAGAAGGGTCTCAAGAATATCCATATCGCAATGGTTCTATTTGTGAGCTGGCAGATACGAGCGCCCAGCCTGAAGCTATTTATGCGGATGCTATCGTACTTTCGCCGATTTCTTACTTCCCAGATTCGACTGTGGCTGAGCTCCCAGCCGATTCTACTCACACGCAGGGCGTACCAAGTGAGTCACGGAATGCCGAAGAGCCGGTATTGATTTAGTTGACTCGCTGCCATCACAGATTCTCCATAGACTAGAACGACTATAGTGAAATGCGGGGTGATGCTGTGTGATGAAGATATTGCTGGGGAGCACCTTGTTTCTCAGGTGAAGCTGCTAGGCGGCTAGGCTGAAATTTTTATTCTAGTTTTATGGATCGATCTTGTAGTTTTTGAAGCGAAATTGGAAAGTATTACGTTTATAGCTAAATTGAATCCATGTTTACAGTATAAAGTATTGTAGTAGTTTTTAAAGAACAATTTGGTTCGAGCATTATTTTTTCGTAAACCTTGATAGTCATGGAAAGTATTAAACTCTCTGGCGTCGGCCTTCCTATCCATCAGGAACCCGGGGATAATGGTTATCTTCCCATCCCTTCTCGGTAACTTAGTTTGCAGTCAATACTATTATCAATTGTGAATTCGATATGCTTCAATTCCCCGCAAACCAGGTTGGTGCATCAAGGTGTATGTTGAAAGGATCGCGAGTTGATAGAAAGCTGAGGCATAGAATCCCATTGTGGCCCATACCTCAGTTATCTTCTCTCGGCCGGATTAAGCTCTTAGCCACAGGTCTTAGCAGTAAATAACACTTCTAGCTTATAACTTAGATATTATACTATAATATAAATTAATTACTATAATATAAGGCTAATAAAAGGAAAACCTAAATAATAACTCTTTAGCTAGCCTTAAAGGCATATAAGAAGCTCTAGACCCTGGCTAAGGAAGGTTAGCTTAATACTATAAATATCCCTTCTTAATCTTTAAGATAGCAGCTTCTATACTAATAAAAATAGTCTTTTATTAATACTAACCTAATTAAATAGTAAATATTAATAATTATATTAATAAAGCTATAGTTATACCTTAAGCTATATTAATATATAGAAAGACTTAATAAGGTAAATATATCTATAAACCCCTTAAAAAGCACTATAGGGCTGCTATAAGGTTTATCTCTATATAGGATTTCTATAAGCTTAGCAGTAAATTCCTTATTTAGCTAGCTCTCTTTAACTATAAGACTATTACTTTTATAGTAGCCTTTAGTAGATTTTCTATAGAGGTTATTAAAGTTATCTAATAAAAGAAAAAGGCACTAAAGGAGCTAAAGAAACTAAAGAAATTTAATATAGCTATATAGCTAATCTAGAGAAATTATATCTAAATTATATCTATATTTAATATTTAGATAGCAATTTACTAAAAGGAATTTTTAGGTATAGTATATAGCTATTAAATTTATTAAGAAATATTAATATATAAGAAAAGCTTAACTAGAAGAAAGTTTCTTAATAATATATATATTGGTATTACTAGGCTAAAAATAAGGTTAGAATAAAGGTTTAGGGAAGTCAGAAGGTTATAGCGGTATTAAGTTTATAAGTCAGTTATAAGGTTAGAAAATACACTTTAGGCTTAACATAATGGCCCATACCTCAGATATAGCTATGTCACCACAGCTACGGTTGACGGAGGTCGTATGTGAATTGTCTGACTATCAGCAACGCTAACACCACTCATCTCTGGTGCATCGAAGAGATGAAGCCTGAGGCAACAATTTACCAGAAAACGAACCTTCTTCACGTCTACGAATATACCGCCACTATCGTCAAGTCTGATCACTTAATCCCCGACGACATGTCGCAAGGGCTCAAACAAGGTGGCAATACTTTAGAAGATACCCCTGCTTCTGGCAAGGATTGGCATCCCGGCAGCGATAGAAAGCCTATGAACCTCGGTTAGAACCATGTCCACCCATCAATGTATCCGCTGATATGCGGTAAGTCTCATGTTCTACTCGACGGACGGATGTGACTTGTAAAGTCCCTGGGAAATCGTAGTCAAGGCTTTGCTATAAAGAAGCCGAGCGATAAGTCCATCAGTGGCGAGCTCTACAACTACACGTCAACAAATTCCCAATGGTTTCCGTGCGACTTCTAGGCTGATGGCGGTCGTCTCAAGATGAAAAGCTACATCAATAATTTACAACCCGTGGAGCATTCCACCTTATAGCCAATCATTCAGAAGCTTATCGATGAGGCTTTGTCTACATGGAACATCGTCTATCGCTGGCTGAAAGAATTCCCTGTACAGTGTCTGAGGATCCAATAGACTGGGGGGAGATACAGAAGTCGACGCACTTGCGCGAACACCCCTGGCCATACCAGTACGGCTCTGACTCGACCACCTCGGGATGACGAACCTCGCAGAGGTCAGTAGGACAACAAATACAGTGAGTTGGTGATATTGGAAGCGAAAGTTTTGGATTCAGATGATAACGTACCCCGAAAAAACCCTCACCAATGTCGCGAACCAAAAAGGACCGATAACGCTCCTCTGCACTATTTTCCAAAGACGAATGAATCGGAGAGCGAACTTGAGACAGAAGAGTATAACAGCAGCTAAGACATACATATCTCAGAAAGCTAATCAGAAGATGAGGACGACAAGGAGCAGGACGGTGATCCAAATCACACCTCTGAGAAGGAAGTCCAACATCGCGGCTTACTGTGGCTCTACAAGACCCATCCCGTTGTTACGCCGGAGCCTAGCCTCGACCCTAAGCTGAAGTTCTATGCCGAGAATGTCAAGTTGATGGAATTCTTCCACGATATCCTTCCACAGACCGGGCCTTAAAGACTTCAGGTGATCAGTCAAGTTTGCCATCATCCATCTCGTCCTAGAGAAACCGAGCTATTCAGGCGGCTCGTGACATACAGAAGGCCAGGTCAATAAGCACGTCTAATCCACTGCGCTATTCTCCTACGACAACCAGAACATCGCCAATGGCTACATCGACTTCAGAAGTATGGTAAATACGGAAGAGATGGATTAATGGACTCTTGTGATGTTAGTAACATGGGCGGAAGGCCATCCAACGCATATTCGCCATCGAATAGCCTGGTGTCGGTTCTAGGCTCCAAAGCGTAGGAAGTGTACTTACTCGAGAGAAACGCGCTCTGTTCTTCCTGAATGTCTTCCAGCACCATTTCAATTCATTCCAGCTGGATGATCCAATAAACCTTAATCATATAAGGAGTCTTGCCTTCCTCCTTATGGATTCTCTCATTCCGGTCATTTCCGTAATAATTGGTAACCTGAAGGAAAGATTAGTAAGAATTAGAGACCTGGCGTTTGTTGAGAAAATGGCCAAGTTTATTATTGAACTACATGCTTTCTAGACTACTTTACATAACTCACATCAGAAATAGAGCTATGTATTTCGATCTTCATTTTATCGGCCCGTTTTTCCTTACCGTGTCTTAGCTGGCCCTTATTTTCTTTCCTGCATCCCAGATCCTTTGCCCACTCTTTCTCTCTGCCGTGTCTCAGTCCCCGTATCCAGGAGCTAAGTTAGTTTAGTTATAGGCTGGTCTCTCCATTTACTCTAATTTTCAATCTTGAAATATAGAGTGGCGTATTATTGAATAACGGGAGGAGTCTTAAAGTCGATTGCTCTTTTGCTTCTCCCTCTCTGGTATTCTAGGGGTCCATGGACCTAGACAAAGGGCATCCCTTAGAATTCCTTCTATCCTGTTAGTCAATTAATGTACCAGTCCTGACCAAAGAGTTTGTTTTACTAATCCTACTGCACAATGAAGTATCCAGCAACGCAGACAAGAGGTATAAAAGCCCTCTCCCATGACCCCGAATATCGATCTATAAAATCAACAACTTGAACATCACATCACCACCGATAACAACAACAGATCTTCTATCAGTCATCTACAAAAGCTTCAATCCGTCAATATGAAGTTTCACGTTCTCGGCACCTCTGCAATGCTCTTCACCATTGTCCACGCACAATTTTTTGGCGGTGAGATTGTTGTTTGTAGCCTGAATATGCCTTTCAACTACTCACACCACTAAAATGTTTCTAGGGTGGTGATGAATGCGACGATTTTGGGAAGAAGTGCAGCACGACTTTGGATTGCTGCGGTATTTACTATTGCCGCGCCGTAGATGACAAGCCTTATAAAATATGTAAGGTGGAAGAATGCCGTGCTCTCGGCAAAGGTTGCCAGGTTGACTCGGAGTGCTGCAGTGGGGTTTGCAGCTGGGTGGACCCTAAAAATTCGGGCGCTCGGGAATGCAAGAAGGACCGAGCTTGCCGAACCAAAGGAGATATCTGTAGCGGCATCTATGGTTGCTGTGAGGGTCTCAAATGCACTACAGATTCCGGTCAAACACGACGATGCTACTAGGTGTGTGGGCGGAGCTCCTGGTCACTCGGTACAGGCTGCGCGTGGAATCTTCCCATTGGGTGTATCCGGGACATCTCTGTCAAGTTCCATGAGATAGTTATAAGTCTGCCGAATTAGGAATGTGATAGAGGCTTACAATATGTCTAAGATGCGATATGCTCTAGGATGTGAAGTATGATAGGGGCAAATAGACGAACCGCGATATCGATGTTCCACCGAGGCCCATCCCTAAAGCAAACCGTAGTCTAATTAAGCCTGCTCCTGACACCTTCCAATACATTTTGCAAAACATAACTTCCCTAACTAGGAGCAGCTTTCCTTAAGGTATCAAGGCAGTATCCCCAATGGCTCTTCTAATCCATTGTTCAATAGCAAGACATAATACCCACTATTCTAGATCTTTGCCTTCTAACTGATACTCAGCTTTAATAAGGCTGCAAAGCACTGAACCTAGATCCTTTTCTGCAGCCACAGCGTATTCTTGAGACAAGAGGGGATGACGGATGTATATACGCATCCTTACATTCATCGCCACGAAACACGAAAATGGCCATATTATTGCAAGACGCATTTTCTACTGGCTCTCATTTCCCATTCTATATCTTTCGGAAGACCAGTTATGGGAGGTCACAAGTTGCATCAACGATTTGTCTGGCCCTCCTGGTATACGCAGCGACCCATCATCAGACGAAGCACCAAGAGATCACTTCCACAAGGCCGCCATCATGGCGTGCGTGTTGAGAGGGCCGGAGGCGAGTACCGATTAGTTCATCAATCATTTGCGGAATTCTTTTGGTCTGGATTCAAGGAGCCCCAATGCCAGAATCCAATCCTTTTTCAATTTCTACCGACCCCAACACAAGCTCACAGTGCTCTCACCACGGAATGCCTTCCCTATTTGTTATCTAGAGTTCCAGCACGGCCACTTTCCGGAGATATTCATGAAAGAATCTGGCCTTCTGAATTATCACTCCACCTCCCAATTACCTGCTACGACGCAACTACGTGGTTGAAGTGGCTAGTGGTTGTGTGTTGAGATTACGGATCCAGATGATGGATGGAGGGATGATCAGAAAAAAGATTCATGAGTATTGAAAGCAGATGAATGGTTTAAATAGTTCCAGCATATTGGGATATGTAACGAGCTGTTTGCTAACGTGAGAAATGATTGAGCATTAACACAAAGGTCATGATGGTGAGGGGAAATGGTTTCCTGTGAGCGAACAAAGGGCACTCCGTTCCATGGCAACACCATTCACAACGAAGAAAGACATGGCAAACGAAAATGGCAGGAGGCAGAAATTGAGAACATGTATTAAAGAAACAATGGCAGTCACGTTGTAGCCGCACCGATACTTGCTACGACTTATATACGCTTAAGTAATAGCATATGGCTGTACTGTTTATGCATGACACTACGGATGTAGAATCAAGACTTCTAGCAAACAGAACGTGAGACACAAAACAGAGAGACAGCAAGTATTATTAACTTGGGCCAAAGGTCTATTGTACGGCGCACTAAGTGACTAAGGAGTTATGGTTTTCGGGTCTAATAGTGTATTATTGTAAAGCTCTATTCCCGGCAACGGATTACTCTATTCAGGAAACACGCCAAGCCATTATTCTATCTTATACCAAAATTCAGCGTAAGTCTCTTAATGCCTATTCCGTTCTTATTTTAATAACATCGAAATATAGTGAGAACAGGCATAAGTGTGTAATGGTATAGAACTTCTTATATGCATGTATTGAAGTGTATGTCACAGTTACTAGAGCCACAACAGCAATGATTAAAATTGACAATGCAGGTATAGCAACTGCGCGACTGCCTATATGCCCTAAATTCTTGCTGTATGTTTATTTACGGTTACTCTTTTGATAAGAATTGGGAATATTTGGACTCTGTATTAGTTGTTTCTGCTTCTTACATGTTATCAGGATGGTTGTACTTTTACCACTAAAAGCAATCTATAGAGGTCTTTATGTTGGTGGACTAAAGGCTTCTTTGTCTATTTTAGAATCTTGGATATAATCTTAAAACTATTTTTAACAAGATGGTATATGAAACCTCTAGTTCTGAACCTGCGAAAGCGACAAGTCGTAATGAACCTTCAGAGCAGGTCGCCGCCAATACATTAACTATGTTCTCCACTTCCCATACGCTAAATACCCATTTTCTCATTCCTGCATGGTGCTACATTCATGGGTCAATACCAAAGCAAAAATATGAACAGAGCTCTTTTGCTTCCAATCATCGTTGTCGTCTGTGACTATTATGACCTCGGCCTTGGGATGTTGGGTTACGGAAAAGAACTGTGTTCCAGAGCGGAACTTGTTGCCCTTCAGGGATGGAGAGCCCCACGGTTACCGACGCTCAAGCCCTTATTGCTATCATCAAGCATAGAGTGTATCGGCGCCAGCTCACCAGCCCTTTCCCTATATCAGCCATGGGGGCCAGCCTTATGATGGGCCTAGGATGAATTCTTACGGCTTGAAGTTGGCTTTATTGACCCAGGAAATCTGTAGCACCACCTTGTGGTCCCTGTATCTCATCCACGCTGTCATGTCGGCTGGATACCAAGACCATTCTTTGGCATCCTCACAGCTGCTCTACATCCAACTTCTCACCCATGGTTCCAACTTTGACTTCGGTGTTCCTGAACAAGGCCTTACCTGGTAATACCATACTACAACCCTGAAGGCAAACTTCGGGCCATACTGAGCTTGGTGATTCAGATTATGTATATTAGGTATAGCGCACTAGTGTTCAAAAAACTGATCTCGAAAGGTCCGAATTGGGATGTCAGGCCAACGCCTTCCAGTTAGAGTTTGATGACTGAATCCCGGCTACCCACCTAATTTCAGGTATCAATTCTAAATATCCAACTGCACGCCCATTTCCGAGTCTGTCCAGCTTCCTTTCTATCCACGTCAATTGGCACATAGCACAGTGCACCCTATGACATCTTGTAGGGGCGTAGTTACAGCCTTGGACCCAGACATCCTTAGGGCTTGCTAGACACGATGCTATGAACTGCAGGAAATCTGGCGGCATGTTTTCTCACTCTGAAGTCAGGGCAAAGTTTTTGAGATCTTTCACTTGCTCTTACTAGACCATGTCAAACCACTAACTCAAAACCAGAGAAAGGCTACATTTGGACTTTTGGCGACAACCTCTTCCATATCTGAAGTTATTAGAAGAAATATTTGGCTACCAAGTGAAGATTCAGATATACTCAAATGTTCATGAAGACCACACTATGTCTTCTCCCGACACAGTCGTGCTGGCCAAGCCAACGCGCCAAGACGACTATGACCTGACACCAGTTAGACGCAACTCGTTGTTCCCTCCACGGGACAGGGACAGAAATACGACAGCGCTAGACTCAACACTAGACGCTGTTACCCCTCCTTTCACTGCTTCCTTTACTACAGCATGATCTAAACCTTCTGCCAATGCAAGCCACTGTGCAGGCCACTCTGTAAGTAGTGGGAGCCTTGGCCAGATAATCAAGCATAGGGCCACAATGGCCGCCACGATTACCAGCCCCTGTAGTGCCATTCCTAGAGCCGCCATGCCGGTCTTCGAAGCCCTTATTACACCCTCAGAAGTTGCAAATGAGTCTAAAGCGATGGTGCTACACCGTGGATTCCGCGTTGTCGGGGGGCGAAAATCTCTGTGGATAGACGAGTGATCATTAACAATCGGAATCAAGGGCAGCGCAGTTATCCAGAAACTGTCGTCAATCGTCTTTCCAGCAAGGGCTGCCTGCATGAAAGTTCTTGCGTTGAATGCCCACTTTGTCTTGTTCCAAGTAGCCACATTGAAAGGGTTAATGTGACATTGAATATCAGTTGGCTCCTCTATTGCAAAATGACCATAAGTAACCGAGTTTGACCAGCTGATATAACCATAACAGTATCGCATATCGACGATAACTCGGTAGTCGTAGATGCCCTCATTGCCCGCTTGTCGCTGGGAGGCAAGTGGATGCCCGACGATCCAAGCCTGTATGGATCCATTGGTCAAGGAGGTAATGTCCATGATGCCCCCATCAAAGGTGGTTGAGTTCCAGGGCGTATAGTCGATTCGTACCCCGTTGTTATATGGCGTTGATTCAACAAGAAGCCACTTGATAGCCTCAAAGTCGCCAATTGCGCGCAGGACATGGAACGAGCTTCGAAGGTATAGTAAGGGGTTACATGACTGAACAGTCCCATTGATGACTCTTGTGAGTCTTGTCGCATTCACCTTTGGGCCTACGATTAGATCCGTGGTTTGCCTATGCTCAAAGGCCTTGCCCGGGTCGCTCACGACCATCACGGACCCATTGTTGACAGAAATGAAGTCAATGAGGTTTGCCGAGAGTACGTTGGACGGGACCCCGTCTCCCAAAGCATAGTTGTACTCCCGAGGCATGTCCGACTCGCCGATTTCAGTATAGCTGGTGTCGGCATCAGGATAGCCGTCCGAGTTGTAATTGTAGTAGGTATCCCCTTTCGGAATTGCAAGCATGCCTCCTGCATTAACATTAACGAAAGAGAACTTGTAAAGAATGCTCACGAGTGCTGCGAGCAGAAACGCTAGACATCGGAGGAGGATGGCCTTCTTCGACCCCCGGAGTTGAGCGGAGAGCGGGGCTGACGAGAGAGAATTAAGCAGACAATCTAGTCGCATTCCTGTGGTTTCGGCAGTTTTTGTAAAACACTTGGAAAGTGCTATCGATGATATACGGGGCAGTAGTATGGAGCTGAGAAGCGAAAATTGAATGCCGGCGATAGCGAGCCAGCTCTGTACAGACAACTGCGAACCAACACACATGGGTGCATCGGCACTGAGGCCGTGACCTCGAGAGCAGCGGCCATTTATTATCATGAGAATTCCAGTAGAGAGTAAAAGAAGGCTACTGAGGGTACTGGTCCAATCCAATGTGGAGAGCCATAAATGTTGCTGTGTGTCTTGTATGTGTGTGGGCTGCATCTCTCTATGGTACCTATGCGTGATATCACCTCTATCAAAAGGGCAGAATCAACATGTGTTCCCGTCCACTTTATATAAGCCTTGCCCTGCCTCATGAGCTGGAGCTCTACTGGGGGACTATTCCTGATTTTTGGGTGGCTTGTAACCCTTGGCGCTTTTAGTACATATCAGGCTGACTTTACAGATTTATACTCGTAAGGCTCATCACGCTATTATGGATTATAATTGCTTGTGACATACCAAACGCCACTTCTGAACCCAAAATGGGGAGCAAGAAGAGTACTATGAATCTGACTAGACCGTTTTCAGAGATGTCCATAGCGCCAATGGCTTTAAACTCTGAACCTAACGGATAGGTCGGCAAATGGATATGTCTCTTAAGAATTAATAGTTTAATCCTTGAATCTCCTTATTGCTTTAAATAGACCGTGCTTTAGAAGTAAGCTTATAATATCTCAGTTGCACCTAATTCAGTATAAGCACTTTTCAGAAGTGGACATTCTCGTCCCTTCAGTTCATCATCCAGCAAATCTTAGTAAATAACATTCGTCTCCGAGATTGTAATCTTTAGCAAAGAAGATAGTTCAATTAAGAGGTAACAGGTGCAGACGTTGGTGCTCGAGCGTGCAAGGCCATAATTTATCGGCTCCTTTGCCTATAAGAGCGATGTCGGAGAATGTTTATCTGACACTTGAGGAAGGGACTACAATCGTATCTATATTAGTATGTCCCTCCATTATACTGTAACTTGCCCTTATGGAGCATCTCCACAGTCTATCATGTGTTTGTCGTCGTAAATCGTGCGTTTTTCGGACAAGAGGGCCCTGGTCCAGATCTATTGCTGTGCTAGGGGAGGCCGCTTCTGTGAAGTATACGGAGCGCGGGCAGGGGCATTGACTATAATTAGATGCTAGGCATGCTCCAAGAAATAATTATGCCAAAGTCTCGAAATTTCCCTGGCTCGTTCGAGACAAGAGGCAAGTACACATTTTAAATCCTGGCGGCTGTTCCAGCCAACGATTTATCACCATATAAGGCAACTTTGTTCCCTGTTGCACATGGCCCGCAAGTTGCTCTTGATTTTGAATAATACATACTATCATGTACATTCTCTGCGGTTAGTTGCTTCGGGACCCGATTCATCCGCTACTGGACCCGTCTTGGCCACTCGGGAAATAGCGTTGTGAAAGCACAAACGGCACTCAATTACGTGGACAGTTTGCTCAATCATCCCGTATATCGGTACTTGCACGAGACTGGGTTACTAAGAATCTCTGCCGCCATGAAAATGGATGAAAGACTTGAGTTGTTACGCAGCATGAATTCATGCTTGGTCTTGTTCATTCTCAGCATTGCTCTCAATTGGGTGATATAGCGGCATATAGAGCTTATAAATATTCAATAAGGACGATAGTGTCTCCTTATGCTGTTGAGATCCCCAAGCTAAGAATGTCCCGAGCCGAGGCGCTATGTTTCAAAACGCGTAACTCGGATCTGACCCCTGGGATTTATCTGTAGTGCCCCAAAGAACAAGAAACCAATGAAACAGAGCATAATGGAGCATGTGTTGGAAGGGATTTCAAGGGCGGCGCTAATGATCATGTCTCGAGCAGCAACTGGAATACTGGATCGGAGGCTATAACAGGCGTCACCGATTAGTATCACGTTGACCAGCACTTGTATCCTCAGTGGTCGTGTTTCTTACTTTCCTGCTGAAAGTGATTGACTTATTGGAGATACTGCATAACGTGCAATCTGGTAAGGAACAAAACGTTATACAGATCTCGCTCAAGCTACTATTTCAAGCCCCACAGAAGGATGAAGCATGGCAGGATGTGCTCAGAACATGGCAGCGGGCTTTGCGTGAGAACGTTGTTCGACGTTGGAACAGTAACATCAAACGTGCCCTCAGGTTCAGAATGCACAAAAAAATCAGCAGTGTTGCAAATAAGCCCTCATGACTTCACTCAGACCCCAGGTATATTTGAAAGCAAAGCTTTAGTGGTGTAATGGAAATGCCGCTTCCTTCGATAAAATGAGGAGTTTGTGTTCAGATGGCCCATCTTGATCTTACTGAGGCTCGTTGTGACTGACTGACTGAGGCAGCAATGTCTCGGATTCCCCACATAACAATACAACGTCAACCAACAATCATGAGCAATGCGTGACACAAGCTTGCGCCGTGCAACAATCACAATGAAAAGCTTTCTCGCCGGCCTCGCCATTTCGTGTCTCTTCTCTTCTTCTCTCTTCTCTTGTCACCTAAAATTCACTTCAATTATTCACTACAGTCTTGCCCTTCTACCTGTCTCTACTTTTGGCAATTCCGCTCCCCCATGGCCGTTCTCCCCGGCGTTCCTAGCATTGAGGTCAGAATTCTCGTCAATGGTCTGCCCACTGAGGAATGGCCGTTTCAAGGAAACATAGCGAGAGAGGCCAGTGAGGGAGACATCAAAAAGGACGAGCACAAGGCCGGTCCTGCAGGATCGGAAGATGCGCCCCTTCCTACCAGACACAGCTACATAGTGTCTAAGTCGGGCTGCCGATTCGGGGACTCTCTCACCTCAAGTTCCGATCTAAAGACCAGCAGTCTCCCTGCTATGACTGGAGGCATTGGCATCGAAATCCATATTGATGGGACTTTCTACAGCAGATTTCTAGTCGACCTTCAAAACCACGAGACCCAAAAGTGGAACTATGCACATGTCAAAACGCAAGACGGCACTATAAAGCGAGAATACCCGGTATTCTCAGACATTCTCTCAGGTTTATACATGTACTGAATAGTTTTGACTCCTACACTAACTTGATCTCAGTGAGGACCGTGACAATGACAACACCAAGGCAGATATGGTTCGTGTGAAGACTATGGGAACCATCCGTCTTACAGTCTGCGCTGTCGCGTCAGAGAAATCGGTCATATATGAAGTAACGACACCTCCCATGCGACCCGAAATGGAACTGGCTCACAAGGCCACCATCATACACGGTCAGGGCTTAACTCATGGGACCACGTGAGTTGATATCTGCACCATGATATGCAAAGTCTTACGGTAGCAGGTTCAAAAATGAGAATACTGACGGGACCAATCGTAAGAGGCCTGGAGGCACCATCCTTAGATATTTGGGTGAGTTTGTCTACAGGTACAGCGCACATCGTAAGTCCAAGACCCAAGCTATTCGAATCAGGATTGCTCACAAATCTTAGCTCCCAAGGAAGCAAAGAAACATGAACTGGACTCAAGTGTTCCGGCAAAGTTGAAGTATGAGGAGGTGAAAATGCCAGATGGCAGATCTCTTGTTGATCTTACCGGCGACGATGAAGAATGAGGCGCGCATAGAAGAGAGATAATGTCGCCCAGTTATGGTTGATATTTGGCAGAGGAAAAAGAAAACAGAAAATGATCTGGGCGTCGAAGGCTGCACGTCTCGGAAAAGAAATATAGCAGAGCGATATTGCTGGCTACTATATACCCTTACTTTCTCACCACCTATTCAATAACAGTATTTTTCTTTCGACGATAGAATTGTTTGCAGAGCTGGTGGTGTGTGAACAGAATCTGATATACTGATAGTAGAGGCTTGGCTTTGAATTGATCAGAGATCTGTGATATTAGATATAAGGGTCACATGGTGTCGCTCTATTGTGACCATTATGGTTAATATCCTCCTCTTAACAAGCCACAAATGAATGAACTCTCATTAAATGGGCAGAGGTATACGTCAACGGCCGCAACAGTCTCACTCAGATCCAAAATTAACATACTGACCCTCTATCCCGTATGCCGGAACTCCGCAATCTCTTGAGTGAAAACAACTAACAGCCAGTGTTATTAACAGCCACCTGATATTATTATTAAGTATCCTAAGTATATATTATAGTAAATTTATAAAAAAAAAATTATTATTATTAGTAATATAGTAAGTAGTAAGTAGTAATTATAAAGAAAAGTTTAATAAGTTAATAATATAAAGTAAAAAAGCTTATTTATTAAAGATCTAATTGTAATTAAGATTGAGTTTGTAATTAAATAAAGCTTATATACTCCGTAGATAAATTATAAATGTTTTAAATATAAAGGCTCTGCTAAAAGTAAAGAGACTGCTATAACTGGCGCAAAGTTGGCCAGTTATAACAGGCAGAAATACCAATTACACTGCCAGCTGACAAGGACCTCGACACTAGGCCATAACCAGAATTCCCTTATCAGCCCCCGAATTAGTTATACGGTTTTAAGCTAGCGGCATAAATATTTATTAGGCACACCACATTAGCGTAACGCACAGATTCCCAAACTTATTCGCTCCCAGACATTCAGATACCATACACCTACCAGACACCCCTCTCTCCAGGACTCCTTATAGAACCAGAAAAGAGGGGAAGCTAATACCCCGCGGTCTGCTCCATACCAGTCCATTTCCCTGCGCCTCCCCTCTTTATCTATATACACACTCGACCATACAGGAATATCTTTTCTTCTTCATTCTTTTCTCTCACACAACTATCATCTGGAATCAGTTGAGAATATTCTTTAAACCACTGCTCACTATTCGTTTTCAAACCTTTAACATGTCTCTTACAATCGCGAGGCTTGGCTTCGTTGCGGTCATCTTCTTGGGTCTTGTCTTGTCTTGGCTCCTTGGACCCAATTTATCTAAGATGGTTATCCGGCCACTTAGCTGGACGTCCTTGCCAACACAGGACCATGCTTACCAAGTGCAGATATTCTCAAGAGACCCTTTTATCATGCACATCAGTAACTTTATGTCTGGGGAGGAAATCGATCATGTTATCAAACTCAGGTAAAGGTCCCGAGAAAGGCGTTGTACTGTTAAAGGCTAATTACTTTTTCCTCCCTTCCGAAGTAACGGCAACTGGGAGACTTCAAAGATATACCCAAATGGTGAGGCCTTCGTGGACACAACCATACGCATATCAGAAATGGCGACAATTCCACGTAAAGATGCCATCACCAAAGGCATTGCCTATAGAGCAAAGAAGTTGCAGGGGTGGCGCGGCAATAGCACCTACGTTGAGCGTATGAAGGCCCAAAAATATCACGTCAATGGCTTTTTTGCCTGGCATGAGGACTATGATGGGAGGATGAACCTAGGAAACAGAGTAACGACGTTTATGGTTTATTTGAACGATGATTTCACAGGTGGCGGAACAAACTTTCCCCTACTCAAGCGCCCAGAAGACTCAGCTTGGTGCGACGTCATCGATTGCGATGATGAGGAGTATTCCGGTGTTACTTTCAAACCGACAAAGGGCGCCGCTGTCTTCTGGGAGAACATGTACCCAAATGGGTCCTTCCATCCAGACGTACGCCACGCTTCCTTGCCCGTCAAGTCTGGGCAAAAGTTGGGCTTGAACATCTTTTCGTGGGACAAGAAGTGGACTTATCCTGAATGAAGCCACCGGGTGTGTATGTGTCTTTAGGTATGTCTTATCGTTGCTTATGGCAACTGAGAAGGGCTGGAATGGACAGATTTCCTTGCACCTCAGAGGGCAGTTAGTCCGGCAACCTATGCCTAGTACTGTGTAGACTGGCTTTGTTTCTGCCTGAAAAACATTATCAAGTGCGAGGTTGGATAAGGCATTGCCTGCTAAGAGGGCTTGAGCGGTTATTGGAAGGCTATTAAGACATAATTTGAAGCTTTTGTGCAGCTAAGCTATGGCACACTCTAAAGTCTTCACCATTACTTTAGGGGTTGGTTGACGGCCTAAAAAGTCGCTCAACACTCCCATCATGTCAGGATGGCCCCCTCCAGGTTGAAGAATGTCAAACCTGAACTTTTCCCACATCTTCCGGTCCCAAGGGGTTTTGGAAAAGCTTGTTTGAAAAATGTCCTGCGCAAAGGCAGTGCATACTAGGTACGAGTAGTACCCAACATCATACCCCCCCGTTAGATGTGGTATTGTGCCATACCAAGAGCCTCTGGTCCGTAGATCACCGAAGCTAAGGCTCTCGCAATCCTCGCGTAGAGTATAGAACAAGTCTCGAAGATCGAGGCCTTCCGCCTCCGCCAAAGACTCTACACTGTGAATCTCGAGGTCGAAAAGAGAGATCGATCTGGAGTGAGCGCTGGATTAGTTTGCTTGGAGGGAGCAGCAAGGTCTTAGGAAACTCACAACTGTTTCAAATGATAACTCGCCCTATTCATGTATCTGTTGCTAATGAGCGGGTCAATAAGCTCGCCTGGGATTTCTCTAGAAGGAATTGGGGTATGTGGATTTCGAGATTGCCAGTCACTTAGATACTCGGGCTTAAGGTTTGTGTAGTGACAGCTCAGTCTCTTCAATACGTCTGCCATCCAGCAGTAATTCTCAAGTAGGGTGCTTGGTATCTCTCCAAAGTCGGGGGGTAGATTTGTCCCATGGAATCGAGCGTATTTTGTCTTAGAAACGAGGTTATGGATTCCATGTCCTAGTTCTATATATATAATAGTTAGCGATCAATTGGACACGTTATATGAGCAAGTGATTTTACCATGGAACATGGTTACAACCTCGCGATGCTTGAGCAAAACAGGCCGGCCGGCGCTAGCAGTTGGAAACGAGCACATTAATATGGTAGAAGGGCACCGTCTACTTCCATCTAAGTCCTCATAGCCCTAACAAGCAAGTCAGTAACGTCTCTAAGCAAAGGCATCGTGGGACTCACGCATAGATGCGTAACATTTTGGTTGCCTCTGTATTTATTTTCGCGCCACAATAAGTCGAAGAAAAGATATCCGACGAAGTTTGTATAGTTCTCCTCCCATACCGCGAACGCTCGGACACTCTCGTGCCAGAAATACTCTGCGCCCAGCTCGGCCTTTTTAGTTTCATTAAACTGAAGGCCCAACAATGAACTCATAACACCTAGCATCGCTTCAGCAGCGTGCTCAAGTGGAAAATACTCAGAGATCCTCATATGGTCTATTTGCAACCGCTCTTCCAGGACCTTGCTATAGTAAGCGTGGTCCCAGGCTGCAAGTATGTTATTCTCATTCTTGCTCTCCTTGAGGTCATCCTCCTCTTCCAAATGGCTGAGCTTATCGATTTCAGCCTTTCCGAGGGTCATAAGATCAGGCTTCAAGTTCTCCAGGAAGTCCCGGATCGCTGCAGGGGACTTAAGTAACCGCCTTTGGGCCCTAAGTGCTGCGTGTGATTTGTGGCCAAGTTGGACTGCCTGCTCATGGCGCTTTACTATAATATCCTTGAGTAATGATTCGTTCTCTGGGGCTTTTTTGTGGTCCCCTTCAAACATTGCACGACGGACCTGTGGTGTACTCGCGTATGTTACCAAGGTCGAAGTCCCACCATTTGCAAATGGTACGAACTTTCTTGAGGATCCTGAATCATTGGTCTCGGACTCCCACTTGTTGACAGTCTCTTCAGGAACACCACGTAGATCTGTTTCTTGTAACCAGAGCCCGTTGTTATTGTGGGCCATGTTGCGCTGAAACCTCATAATCAGATCATCAATTTCGGCACTCTTATGCAAAAATTGGTGCATCTCATCGTCATTTAGCTGTCCAAGCCCATACTCTTCAAAGTCGAGCAGCATTTCATTCAGCAAAAGCTTTGACTCCTGGTCGATGGACTGATCTCTTGATTCCACGCTTTGGAGAAGGGCAAAGTAGTCTTTGCGACTCATCCAAGAAGACAGTGCATCAGACCACAATCGTACTGCCTTAGACACCTCATCTTGAGTGACCTTTTCTGGAGCAGCGTATTGGAGCATAAAGACGACGCCGATCTCAGCTTGAAACGAATTATGCACCGCGACATACGGAGTAATAACCCTTTCAAAGGTTGCATTAGACGGATCGGTCCCGTTCACGATATCGTCAATCGTGGTCGTTACCTTGGCTATAGCTCGTTCCATAACTGACACAATTTCGGTAGCCGCAATCATGCGCGGCGGATACTGGGGTAGCTGTCTATTCATAGCGGTAGTTTTGAGCAGTTGGCAAGAAGAGATAAAGATAGTAGTAAACCAGCCGCCCCCTAAAAAATGGATGGGGACTGATGAGATGGGAGCTACTACATACCGGTTGCGTTTACCTACACCTGCTACTCGAGTTCACTACGTCTTTCTAAGCGCAATGGAAGTTCACGCGACCTTGTCAGCACTACCCTGGATAATCGTCCAGCAGTTTTAGGGTTACTCTCGCTATCTTGGCAGCTAGCCTACGCTTGGACGAATGCTTTACGAATGTTTTAGAAGCTGTTGGCATGTGATAAATGCAAGATGGTGGGCGGCAAGGCAGTGCATGTAAAATGCCACATTAGTTCAGGTGAGGCCAAATATAAGTGCACCCCCGGCTTCCTGCGTCGAAGCTCGTCCCATCATCTACAGTGCGGTACAAGAGCAGGAGGTCTGAATGACGGCCGTATATCTTTATCTAAGCCTAACCTCTTTGAGCCACTTGCGATATGTGTGCTGGCTTTTTCTCGCTTAATCAAGTACTCTAATTCGTCAGTTTAGTCTATCCACCGAGGTTGGAAGATGGCAAAAGTTTGAATGGGCTAGCTCGAGTCTTTCAGCTCTCACGGTCTTCCGGCTGATTGACTACAACCCCCCTCCACCTCCCTACCTACCACTTTGATATTTGCAAAACCTGTAGCTTTGGTGGCTTGCATGAAAAGACAAGTTTTCAGCTCTCCAAGCGTCTGCAAGGAAGCTAGATATGACCTGTCTCTATAAGCACTAAATGGGTTGCATTAAACCATTCGCAACGGCACCCCCCTTTGAAAATAATACATCATAGATATGTTATCGCATGAGTCCTATTCTAAGAACTATTGGTTACCCCGCAAGCTTATCCTTTACCAGCCGGCGTGGCATGTGAAGCATATCGCTTCTCCGTCAAAATGTCAAGGTCCAGGTTCGTGGTCAACTCCATTAATACTGCCGTGTACAATCAAGGAGTGATATCTTACCTTCTTAACCGTCAGCGCCTCTAGCTTTCCCAAGCTGGCGTGCTGAGTTGAGCGACTGGTTTTTATTCATCATCCTATAGCCGCCTTACGACGTACACCGCGATTTCAACACGGAATAAGAAATGGTAAGTCCTGTCCCATAATGCAATATGCAAGGTCTGAAAAGAGCTTCATTGATGCCTAATAATAATTAGAAGCCCACCTTTTCTCTTATTGTGCCCGCGTGTATCCTGCTTTTTAGCAGTTGTCATCTTTGGAAATGGGCCTCCAACTACACGCCTGCTACTTCTTTGTCCCTTTTCAGCGCATTCGCCGCTAGTCCTCTACTTAATGATGACTATGCGTGTACGCATGAGTATAGCATCGAGCTTTTGTCAGTGGACCCACTGGTAATATACATCAATGGGTTTGTGAAGGACAATGAGATTGCTCATCTTCTCCACAAGACGTCAGTATGACCTCGCGATATCAACATCTGCAACTTCTCACACGCTGTCTACAGGAAAGATGATTTCTCACCGTCCTACGTCTACGAACACGACACCAAGAAGGATAAGATCTCTTCTCAGGTCAATTCTACCTGGCGTACCTCTACATCAGCTATGGTATCATATAAAGACCCAGTATCCCGTTGCCTTGCCAGCCGTCTGAAGTCACTGCTAGGTAATCTTCAACACCCTGACACTGAGAGACTCCAGATCGTCAAGTATAAGGGCGGGGAGCGCTTCCGAATGCATAATGATTACTTGCCAGTTCACCTTGAAGCGAAACAGCCAGATGGAAGTATGAAAAAGTTCAATCGACTGGTGAGTACTTTTATCTATATAGGCGACGAGTGTACTGGGGGAGAAACGTACTTTCCTGATATCAAGGGAGTTGGTCCGGGTGCCGACGGAGATAAATTTTCAAGAACTGAAACTGGCATGGGGCTCTTGGTGAAGCCCAAGAAAGGAAACGCGGTACTATGGCACAATGTGCATCAAAACGGGACCCGTGATGAGAGAATGGCTCACGCAGGATTGCCGGTCCAGAATGGCACAAAAATTGGTATGAATCTGTTTGGGATTTACTACCCGGATGAGCCGCTTGTAGGTGGTAGCCATGTTTAGCTAGGCGGAAGTGGCTACCTAGAAGCACTTCGGTTTATCTGGAACTGCATAAACGAGAATTGGGTGGACATAGTCTTGCAAGAACTGAAAAAGGGCTGGTTTCATAGCACCCAACCTAAATCTTATCAAAGCTTGTTATTCAATGTGATAGCCCATCAATCCTATTATGAATGTGCCTCCATCCTCCAAGTACCACCAACACGCCGATACCGTCACTGCAACTAAAAGAGTGGCGTTCCCTACTTGAGACAAATATACAATTAATCGCCGTTCGGCATCCAGAAAAACATCCTGGGTTCAAAGCTTCGGCGTATGTTCCAGCCGACGTAAAGCTTTAGTGGGAACACTAATTCTCATCACAAGACCGTTTTGCATTACAAATTTACAGCTGAGACCAGCCGAGACAAAGGCGTTTATTCTTGACACAGGCCTTGAGTAGAAAGATGACCAAGGCAGATAAGGCGGAAGATAAGCTATTGCACTTCTGATAGGTCAAAAGTATGTCAAGTCACGAGGACTGCTTGAACCTAAGGGACCGGGCCGCGACCCGCCTCTCATTGATAAGGTTCTCGACCAAGAATTGTGAGGCTAGCAGGGGTTAGGATCTAGACTATTGGTATGACTATTGATGTAAAGTACGAGACGGACTTACCGCCACGTTCTAACTTCTCATTCGTTGAATAAATGTGACGGGTTTCACTAGCTCCAAAGTGTGGCTGGTCTGATCCGGTTCCGGCCACCCACGTTGAGACATATGGGCTGAAATCCGTTAGTTTAAACTTATTCCTCAATTATGTTTGTTGATCTTCCTTTCTTGGTCATGGACGATAGCACAGACGCACTATCCATTTTAGGTCATGTTTATGCAGATGCGTTGTGATGTGATGTGATGTGACGTGATGTGATGGATTGCATCAAGCGTATGGGGGCAGGTGACTAGACGACGTGAGTCTCATTTGGAACCCTCGCATCAGCGTATTCTATCCACCCCGGATCTAGACTCTTTATCATAGGGTGTGAATAGGCTCAATTCACCAGACTTGGCGCTGGCCCAGCGAAGGTATTATTGACGCTGTATCGTAGACATTCAGTATCTTGGCACCTGACTAGGATCATTTCTAACAGTTGTTACTTTGACTAACCTGCTGTCTATGGGTTTGTTCTTGGTCATGCATTACAGACACCCAGCATGATATCTAAGGCGAAACCTACCAAGCGTTCCAAGACTGGCTCACAAGCCCTTGTGAGGTTGCCAAACAACCATCAATCGACCATCGACAGGCCTGAAATGTCGCTGGATACGTCTCATCTTCATGGTCTTCGGGGAGTCGCATCCCTCCTGGTCTATATACACCACCATGAGCTCTGGGCCCATAACGCCTCTTATGATACTATTGAGCGAGCCTTCGGTTATAGGCAGCGCCATCACTTTATTACCCTACCATTTATACGTCTCGTCTTCAACGGTGGCCACTTTGCAACCGCCGTTTTCTTTGTCTTATCAGGCTATGTGTTGTCTGTAAAGCCATTAACGATCATTAATTGCCCACGAACCACGTCTTCGATTGAGAGCCAGGAAAGGCTGGCGTGCTACATCTCTTTGGCTATCTTTCGAAGATGGTTCAGGTTGTTTATACCTGTATTCGTCACGACTTTCACGTACATGTAAGATAATTCCACGTCTATGCATTCATGGCTTTGCTGACAAATGTCGTATGTAGGAGCTTGCTATATATCTTCGGCCTTCACGCTCCTGGGCATAGCACTCAGGCAGCGTACAGTCTAGAGTTCAGACGATGGATGCATGAGGTTCTAAACTTCAGCTTCATCTTCGACCGAACCACTTCGCCGTGGCCCAGCTATAACGATCACCTGTGGTCCTTAGCTATCGAGTTCAAGGGCTCACTCGCCACGTATACTTGCCTCGCTGTTCTTTCTCGGTCAACAATACACTACCGATTAGTGTCCTACATTTTGCTGATCGTTTATTTCCTCTTCCTAGTCACTGATGGATGGTTCTGCGCCTTCTTCATCGCTGGCTTGTCCATACGCGACTTGGAAATCGTGTTTGGTGGTTATGTGACATCCATGATGCAAGGCAAAGCCTGGACCAGTGTCTTGCTCAAATGTCTTTTGTCCGGTTTTGGCTTGTACATGGCCGGCGTACCGACCTGTCTTTCTTCAAAGTGCTTTCGTATGAACCCAGGATGGTCTTTTTTATCACCTCTCCCAAGTTTAGTTACTTGTGACCCTAAATGGGTTCCGCTCTTCTGTGCTTCAGTCCTGTTTGTGCCACTGGTGAGACATACTTGGCTGAAAAGGCCTCTGCAGTCTTCCATCTTTCAATATTTGGGACGTAACTCATACAGTCTCTATCTTATACATGGACCTGTCCTACGTATCTTTGGGGACTCACTATATGCATGCGTTTCCTGGCCATATGGGGATCGTAGAATGCTTCACACAAGATTCGACTCATGGGCAGGATTCCTGCCAATCACCATGAGCGGGCCGTTTGGCATGGAGGGAGCCTTTTTAGCTGTCCAAGCCATTATGCTGCCAATCTCTCTGTCTATTTCTCATTTCGTAACACATACGGTTGATGAGCCTTGCGTGCGCTTGTCCAAGATGATTGTAAATGTGTTGCTTGGGAAAGAGCAGTAATCCTGATAGAAATTGTAAGGTTTGAGAGATAGAAGGTTACATATAAATTCGACGTCACATTTTAGCACTCTATGAAACCACGTCTGGAAAACGCCTTCCAGAAAATTTTCATTCCCGATAGTTTAATGCCACATAGATCGCTCACTGTCTATCTATTCAATCACGAGAACAGTCTTGACTATAATCCATTCGCGAATAGTAATGATGTGCCAGTACCCTTTCATGACGTTCCATTGTATCTCATGTAAGCTTTGAGCTCAGCCGTCAACTATTGACGGCTGATACCATATGAAAACGAATATTGCACATTGATTTTATCCCCGTTTCGACTCGAAACCTGATTTTCTGCTCCAGATAAGTCATATCCTCAACAAGCCAACGTCCTGGAACTGTAATTCCAACATCGACAATTAATAGACGGCCTGACTTGATGCATGTGAGGCTGGCCACGTCAATAGCTCCTTTGTAGGCAGGTTCTCCCAGAACTTCGCTTACAAGATCTGAAATTGACTCTCTCATCTCATTGCCAATACTTCGGTCAGCGAGCTCGTATAATGCTGAGATAGACAATTCAGCTGCAGGTTTTACCGCCATTAGAGAAATACATAGCCCTCCAACAAGGTCTAGCCAGGCTGTGTCTTGCATTACTCTAACTCCGAGAATTACTGCTATTATCACAATCTCTGTCAAACTATCGATGCGATGATGGATGGCATTTGATGCCAGGACGACTGACTTCCGCTCTCTAGCAATTCTTCTTGCTACATGAATCATGTAAGTAGGCTGCTGGCTCAATCAAATAGTCGAACCATTCGTTTGGACTTACTTTCTCGATAAAGCCACTCTTTAATTGCCACTGTTGCTAAAGAGAGTCCGAGTACCAACATACTAGACATGGTCTCGTCGGCGAAAGACGGACGATCAAAGTTGCCCATGCGCACAGAAACCTGATTGGGGGCATGAAACAAAGAAGCTGGAAGTAATCGTGCAGCGATGCCACAGAGACTACAGTAACCCATTGTAGTGCCTCCAAGAAGGAGTGTGGCGGACATTCCCAGGGCGCCTAAGCTTTCAATCTTTCCATATCCATAAGGGAACTGCGGAGTAGCTGGCCTCAGACTCCATTTAACGGCCACCAGTGCCATGATATCTGACAAGAGATCTGTGGTACTGTGGATGGAATCAGCCATCATGGTCTTGGAGTTGAGCATAAATCCGCAGACTCCTTTAAGGACTGTCATGATGAGATTTGCGTATAAGCCGACTTGGGTGACATGAACACCGTCATCATGCCTCTCGCATGGAGGGGTTTGATAAATAGCAGAAGCATCCCGACTCTGTGGATGTTCCATGAGATATTCCATGGTAGCCAGAATTCAAATTGGATGATAGGGAGAGGGAGGTTTGTCGCGGAGCTATAAGAATTCGCTCGTGATAGAAATCAAAAAGCAGCTGCTCAGTCCTACTGAGCGGAAACTGCGTCGGGGCCGGTCAACCCTAAGAAAGATGACAGGGCTGAATGAAACATGTGCGCTTCCAGGAATTCCACATGCTTATCAAGGGTTTCTTGCTCAGGCTTTGTCGGTAAACCTGCGCCAGAAAATCATGTACCAGATACTTCCCCTTCCTCATTGCTAAGCTTCTCAAAGTGCCTCTTTTCCGAGACTGATAAGTGATTGGTTGGCCGGGCGGCAATCTAGCATCCGTGCGCATGCTTTACTACAAGACTAGTCTTTTCTTGTAATTCAGTGAAGTCTGGACTGCGCCTCAGGGTATCGCATCGTAAATGTCTAAACTCACGGCCAGTGTACCTAGCTGCGCAGCTTTGAGACATTGCGTTGCATATGCACCGCGTTTGTCACTAAGTTTTCAGCTGGAACCATTCCAAAGTTTAACCCTTTTCTACTCCCCTGTAGCCTTGGCTGCCGCTTGTCTTAGATAATTAATTGTACGCCGTAGCCCATGGAGCATTTCCCTATTTGTTGTCGGATGTACCTCCCAAAAGAAAAGAAAATGTGGGTGTCAGCAGAGCAAAATATGCAGCCTGCTGTGATGAACTAATTACTGGGAGTGGATTCGTTATTGAGGAGTGTACTTAAGATAAGCAGCTAAAATCTCATGATGCGAGCTCAAAGTCTAAGCGGCCGTGGAGGGGGAGAGGGGAAGATAACGCGTCCTTTGCCAGAATTGGCATTAAGTACGTTTTGTACTTTACCAGTAAATTCAAACATAAATACGCACCCAGACTGCCCTTCATTCAATACTACAGCAGCCCCAGAGCGTCTTGACACATCTTCTAAATACACAAGTCCAGTCCTAGTATTTCTATATTGAAAATGAAGGCAACTAAATTTGTCGCCCTCTTTACTATCTTTATCAGCTCAGCCATAGCCATTAACGCTCCTGCTGTTGTCCAAATGGAAGCTCTGGAAAAACGCGAGCTTGGGCCGCGTCAGGGAACTCGTATGTGTTACACTTTTTGGTCTAGAGGTACTATGACATGGACTAATGACTGACTAGCTCCTAACTCCCCAGCTCTCTTTGAGGAGGAGGATGAGGAGGATGAGGAGCTACGAAAGCAGTAGATATATTAGACTGGCTGTTGTATATCCCTTCTAATAGTAGCTATGAAAAGCGAAAGCTAAAGGGCTTGGTTTCAAATAATAGCTATATATATCGTTCTTCCCATAGCTTGCTCGATAATATACTATAAGGATTATTTTTCTCTCTAGCCTTAAATAGTATATAAATAAAGGACAATTAAGAAAGCTTATGTTAGTATAATAATCTCTATATTTAATTAGTGGCTATACAATTCAACGCTCAGCTCCCTAGCAGCATCATGGTATGTATATCCCCTCTGGGTTCCCAGCCTTTAGTAAACTTCTGCAATCTCAGCCCAGCCTTCGTTCCCGGGCAGTCAAAGAGGAGGCCTCTATTGAGGACAACCCTGGCACGACCCTCGCCCGGCCACAAAGCAGGAAAAGGCAGTGCAGTAACAACGTGACAGAAAAGCCTCCAGCAAAGGCCGCTCGCTGGTTGAACTGCGCGGCTGGTACCTTGATGGCGCGATTGGATGTTTAAGAGTCCATCGTTAAGCTATTGCAAACCCACAGAACAGTCCGCCAGAACTTCGAAGAAGCGGAAGAGAAGCACCACCAGCTCAAGCAGAAGAAAGAAGCGATAGATAGCGTCAGCGACTCAGCTCTCTCGCAATTACAAGCATACTCCATCGGCAGAATGTACATACTACGGACAGTCGCAGCCAATATCGGCGATGAAATCATCGATATGAGCCACAACGCTATTCAAAACTTTTTGGCCAAGGAGCATGAGATTCAAGAGCTTGCTGCTGAGCTGGCGCATGAAAGAGACACGCTAGGCAAGGATTTGCAGCGCGCTTGCGATGCTGAGCTGAAGCAAGTTGAGGACAAGGTTGAAAGGTTGAGGGAGGGGAACAGAGTTCTTCCAGCAGTTTTAAGGCCATAATGAAATCTATTGAGCCGTACGCACAGTTCCGATGATGATGCGACGTACGCAAACATTATGACGGTCCCTTACTATGCTCTCATAACTTGAGAGCGCGGCTGAAAGGGGAGTGCAGTCGATACAAGATACACAGTGCGTTATTGTCCAAAGGTCTTGGAGTATTTATTCATTTATTGTTGTTTTGTGTGCTAGTAAGAAGTAAATATTAGGTCATAAACGTATTAGGTTCTAGTTTACTGAGAGTAATGATGGATATGGCTGCTTCCTAGGATGAATTTTGTTTTGTGGAGTTGTATAAATATTGATGATAGAGTCACAAATCAGCAGGAGAGGCCAATTTGCATTTCAAGCAGTTGCGGATTATTTTTCATGGTCTTACACAAGATGGAGTCCTCACAGACAAGTAAAGAAATGCCACCATCTTAAGATTACCTCGTGCGTGATCGTTCTCAGTCTTATCTTATCAGCACCGACTAAAAATAAACAGAGGTGTGGGGTACGGCCATCTTAAGATGAGTCCAAATTGGCTACCAAGACGATGAAAATGCCATAAAATCTCTAGACGTAGTTATTTGGAAATAAATTCCAAGCGAAATAGTCGATTATAGCTCTCTACTAGGAATCAATTTATTTGCTCATAGTATATGGTACGTATTGCAGTCGCGGTGCTACATTGACATCAGGTCACAACTCATCTTAAGATATCATCAGCCACACATACGCCACATCTTAGCCCGTATCTTAACGTTACCTACAACAGAAATAAAAGCAGCTGCTATGCCTTTGGCTCCGGCGAACAGCACGGTTTGCTATCCATCATGGTCAATTGAAGATCCCTGATTGTTGTGCGACAATACCAGACGCTCACAGCCAATGTAAGTCTGTGTGATTGAGTCTCGTAAGTCTCTCATATCGTATAAAAATTCACGATTCTTAAACGATCTGGCCTTCAAATGACTGTGTTGTACCCCTTGTCTCTTGTACATATCGTTATCTCCAACCATCCAAATCCCTACAGGGGATCAATTTAATCCGTGAGACGCGGCGACTGGTCAGGACCCTCTTGTGCCAATTACTGTAAACGAACCTACGATCGGAACGCCTGGGCAAACTGCTGTTGGTGCTTAATCTTGCAGCACTCTATGGTAGGTTGTCAAACCTTGCCAATTCGCATTGATCCTGGCTGTAATTGTGAAATTGAACTTACTGATCACCTTGATACTTCTAACTTTCCTGACGTTGAGAGCTATGAGACTGGGACCGGAGGTTCTACCGTTCTTGTGTACAAATGAGTCTCCGGTACTTGGGGATCAGCTCATGATGGAGATCATCCAGATAAACGTTACAGACATCATAAAGGAAGCATCAGGCGTAGTTATTGATCTAATTAGTGTTTTTATTTGCTCTGTGCTTGTTGATGGTTGCACTTTATCTGTACCACGGGTCCGCCGATCACAATGCCTTATGGACCTTTTGAAAGCGAGAGATTCCTGCAATAGATACCATTTTCTGTTGACTATAGTTTCAGCTAGAGGACAGTGATGAAGTCATCAATCTTTTTAAACTCTATGCGCTAGTTCAAATGCTATCTAACTTAAGACACATTATTCTATAATTTTCCATTAAATCCCTCCCAAGCACCCGTTCACAACAATTCCAGCCATCCACCTCAATTGCATTATCCAGCATCACCAACCTTCTCGCTCGTTTTATATGGTAATTTAAGCTCTTAGTTGTAAGTCTTAGGTATAACTTCTACTAATATATACAGTTTATACTAACCTATATATATCTAAACAAGTATATACAGTCTTCACCATAACTTAATATATACTAAATTGTTTAATATATAGGTCTTAGTTAACTAAAAGAAACTTACAAAAATATAAAAATATAAAAAATTCATCGCCCGATATGCCATCAACCTTTAATATCATCCTGGCCACTTTATAGCAAGAAAAACAAGCAAATTCACCACCAGCTTCCATGCTTCCCCATCCAGCCAACTGTCTGGTGGACAGCTTGTGTAATTTGAATCACGGGCTAGGGAGACTAGGATAAGCTGCACCACGGCAAAAGAGGCTAGGCTATCATTACGTGGCAGCCCTTAGCGGGGTTGAAATGGCCATTTGTTATTGTCTTCCTGTACAGCCTCAAGGCTTTTTTCTGCAGCATTGGTTGGTACTTGCTAATCAATCACAAAAATATGACAAACAAGCCACTATAGTGGGGAGCATCCAATAAAAACACGACACACTACCATGTTTTCAGAGTCATTGCATGCAGACTGGTCCTTAAAATCAGGCAGTTCAGCTTCCTCCTCTACAAACCCTTTTTCTTTCGAATTATAGAACTTATTCTATAATCGAAAATGGATCCAGCTTCATTAGCCATAGGCGTCATTCCGCTAGTAATGCAACTAGTACAAACGGCAAACTCAATCAGAGACCTGGCTAGAGTTTATAAATCAGCAGAAACGCAGCTAAAGAGTCTTCTTAACAAACTCGATTATATCGAAACCATTTGCAGTTGTCTCAATGAACTTCTTCCTGGGCTTGAGGATGATTGTCGATCCGGAGAACCTTCTGCGAAAACTCTTTTCAGCAGTCTATACCGCATAATCTCCGCCTGCCATGAGAAAGCGTCGTACATTCACCGGATTCTTGTTATCATTTATGCCAAGCAGAAGCCAAGCCGAAACCCGCTCAAATCTATTGGCTCCCGGCTTTTGCGTTACAGGGACCAGGTACAGGATTGCACTGATGAGCTGGATGGTTTACTCTCTTTGCTACAGTTGCAAATAACATCAGTGACTTTGTAAGGAATATCTCGGCCCAAGAGAAGTATATATTGACGATATAGGGCAATGAAGATAAGAGCACCTCAGAGGATAGCAGGACCATCCTTCGCTACGACAGGTTTGCCAAAGACATCTACAAGAACATCTTCTGAGGCGGCTCTCGAGTCGTCTCGATTGCTTTGCTCTAGGAGGCATAGGTCCCAGGTTACTACCGAGACTTGGAGGCAATGCTGGGAGGGAGTGGCCTTCATTCAGAGGACAAAAGAACAAACCAAGAGCACCATACTAACAAGCCCCGAATTTTCCATAATCCAGAACGACTCCACCGTCACCTTGGGCATATCGTTGCTGAACTGGCATGTGAAATTCTCAATGCGACAAGGAGCACTTTCCCCCTCCGCCTTCTCATTTCAACTCCCTCGCGTTATTTCTGCCTGTAATAGAGGAAGTCTCTTCGAGAGAGGGATAGAACAGGCATTCTTGAAAGACAACCTTGAAAAGGTTCAAGAGCTCTTTAGAGAGGGCATACTTACCCCTGCTACGATTTTATCGACTTTTGATTACGATCCAGATAAAGAAACGTCCTTATTAGGTGTAAGATCCCCTTTCAGTTGTCAAACGATCGGTCTTCTGACACGTAAGCAGTTAGCGGTCCTCACAAGAGCGAGCCGTCTCCTCGAGTTTCTCACGAATCAAACTTCAGACATTTTTACTAGGTAAATATGGGGAAGATGCTGTTCTTTTGAGATGAGTACTGACTTTCTAGGTCTCATCTATGCAGTCCATCTTTTAGCTACTTACTGAATCATGCTGAAGATGCGACACAAGTCATTAAATATATCAACCTACGGAAAGATTTCATTACTCCTGGAGAGTTTGGCCAGATTTTAACAGCATTTCGAATGCCTTCCAATACGAGGCTATGTATAGAAGCTTGTCGACAATATTTCGTCAACGATTGGGAACCTTTCAATGACGCTGTTTGGGAATACATCAAAGATCATTTCAAGCGTCTCAAAATCGGACATGTGAAGGGATGGGCAGCTTTAGTGGCCGACGCTATCTCACGAGGCTTGAATATCCATCAGCGCCCTCCACTGCCAAGTTCGGATGGTATTTTTGTAGGAATACTACATTATCACAATGATAGTAGCTCCATTTTGACCCAAATGCATTACTGGATAGACATGCTGGAACTAGCCGGTGTCAACACGGATGATCACGTCAGGTTTGAAACTGAGTTTTGCTTTGCGACTTGGGAGGAAGACCCACCTTGGATCAAGATGGACTCTTCTACCTCGAATTACAGACGAGTCCTGACTATGGTGGAGTCAAGAGGTAGGCAACTTCCATGTTGGGTTCAGACAGCAGAAAACGAGTGCCCTACCAGGAATTTGTTGAACGAGTTTCAACACTTTATGACTCCAGTTACATTCTTTAGTTCTTATATGACTACAGGTAAATGTATAAAACAGTATCAAGCCTGGAAGAAAGGGCAGATCTGGGATTTTGTCCATGACGAAGAGAAGGCCTCGGACGGATGGCCATTTTGGTATCCGTTGCAACAATATCCGTTACACGAAGGTAGTAAAGAGGATATTGTCTGGCTGAATCGTGAAGTGGCGCTCATGGAAAATCGTTTTAAGCGGAAGCAGAATCGCAAATGGCGTAAGGCAGGACGTCAAGAAGGGTTCAGGAAATCAAGAGTTATTCCTGGCAGCTGGATATAAGAGATTGGTATTCAATTATTATAGTTATATTTAGTTTAATTCTTGACGCTGGGTTATATCATTTGTCGTTCCTGTTCCTAATAGACCAGTCTTGTTCTGGCATGATGTTCGTTGCAGGTACATCAGTTTCGAGGTCATGATGCCAAATCAACCCCCTTTTAATGGCGACAGATCTTTCTCTCAAGGGCCGCTTTACCTGTTTGACGGTGGTAGCTCTGGCTTAGCGGATCTGAAGTATATCCTTTCACACCGAGGTGCACACTTATAGAGTGTCGCAACACAGGTTCCTGCTTTCCTTATAGTACCCAAGTCAGCGTTAGTGCAAGGGTTGAATCTTCTCGGTTCTGACGTATCCTGTCTTTGCTGGATGGGGCCATCTGATGCTGCATCTCACACGATGTGTTTGTAAGACTTGGACCTGGTCGGTTCACTAAAGCCACATCTTTTGTCATCCGACATGGATAGGATCGGGATTCAAGGTAATATCCAGTAAGAGCCTTCTGCCATATTCCTACCTCACCAGCGATTCCGGGTTGCTAGCCAATGCAACATCTTGGGTTATTCTCAACGCGTTTCCTTGCTTTTCTTTTTTTTTCGCTATCTATTCCCCTATATTTATTGTTCTCCTATTATCTCTTTTATGTCCTTCTATTCTACTAATCCTCTCATTTCTTTATTAGTGTACCAAGTCCCCATCGCATACCCCGCCCGCTTCTTCATGCTTCGTCTCTGATTTCGCGTTATGCTAAACTTCAATGCGGCTTCAAAAGCTAGCTCGACCATCCTCACATGATCGCGACGCAATGTCTTCTCCCTCTGCCAGTAAACCGAAAGATGAATGTTCATTCGGCTCCCTCTCTCCGACCTAATCTTTCGCCGGCTCGCGAAATCTATGCCATCCGATCGAATACGTCGACGAATCAAGAGCTCTACCCGCGTTCGTCGCCAATTCCATAAATTGCCGATTGAGAAGCTTCCCTCAATCACTGTACATGTCTCCAAGTGAGGGCCCAGCTGTCGTCTCTTGAAGGAGAGCACCGCCATTAGGACTACCGTATGGCCTTGGAGACTCGACGCGTTGTCTTCCGGCCAGCGGGCCCAACAACGATTGATACCAACACTGTCGGATGACCGACCGTCTGTATTCCTTATGCCCACGTCTCCCCTAAGAGATGATCCGATCGATGTACCCGAGAAACCGCGTTCCGATACGCTCGCGCAACCACGAACATGTTCCCTAACGCAGGCTGTTTCCTCCGACCCTAAGGGCGACTTGAAATCCCCCTCTATGCGATGGCCATACCTTTCCGCCTATTGCTGCATGCGCGTCTCAGGCTGAATCGTGTTTATTACATGGCTGCGCCCTTGTTGAAGCTTCAGAATTCACAACGTGAGTACACCGGAGACCTGCCCGATTCAGAATAAGCTGTCAGTCGAAGCCTTTGCTGTTGATTATGTTGACGCAATCACGGAACACCAGCATTTGACCCGGGACTATTGAGAACGCCCTCAGGTCCTCACCACGAATACCACACAGCCTCTGGCTGGTGGGCTTGCCGCGGCAGCTGGTTTAGCACGCTGTCGCCGTGCTGCAAGCTTCATGGCCAAGGCGAGGCCGCGGACTCTTGTCGCATCGCCGCCAGATCGTGTATCAATTATATGGGAGGGGGCGGTCTACTGACGCCCGCTGTAAAAGTATGAGACTGGCGCGGCCTCCTAGAAAATCCCTGTTGGCTGCTCCAAAACGCTTGTGTAAAGAAGCTCAAGCATAAATCACGCTGAGACGTCAGTGTCCATGGTAAGTATTATGTGCCGAAGACGTAATTGCAGTTGCCTCACGACTCGATGAATGTTTGTGTCAGTTCACTCTTAACTAATCCATGTTTCTCTTTATGAACCTACCAGCCATTATTTGCTCTCCATGGAGGTGCGTAAATAAGACCGCATTAAGGTATATTAAAGTCTTATGTATGTAATCTACATACCCTACCTAAGCCAATCAGTCTATACTGCCTGCTATATATTGCCTCTACCTATTATGGCAGTCTCTATAGTTTATTATAAACCCAATTGAAACTGACAGCTAAACATTAATTTACATTTAGATTTAAAAGCCAGACTTTATTAAGGCGGTTACATATTCGGATACTTGCATATTTGGATATAGATAGATCCTACCTATAATACTATCTTACCGGTCTAAGTATTTTTAGCCTGCCAAGAACGCGTAAAACTGTACCGGCTATTCGCTTTATGTCATCTGCCATTATCGGCGAAAGTCAGAAAGCGAGGCCGGGAGTCAACCTCCGATTCCTCGATCACCGAGGCGCTACGGCCTCATTAAGCGGGATTGTGGAGAGACGCCGACTAAACATGACTTCATCGCACTCGGACATCCGTTCGTACCGGCCTGACTCGTAAAGGACCGGTGACTCTGAACGATATTGCGATAAGAATGTCGCCACGAGTTTATACATACCTATATTACCAGAGCACCCAACCTTCACAAGAAAATACTTCACAGTAGACTCAATCATCTAACTAACATAAGAAACATAATCGCAATTCGAGACAGTTCGGCTTACTTCATCCTCAAGCTTAAAATCATGGAAGCACTCAAAGCACGATTCCCCGACTTACCCTTCTGCCCCCTTCGGAAACCAACTAGGTTAAATCCCGCCACAATTCACTTACCTATTGGCCACGTCAAAGCGGAAGGGCGGCGCCCCCTCACCGTGGAGTCTGTCTTCGCCAGGGACGTGGAAGTACTAATGCGTGACGGCATCAACATCTACTCTGATGCGTTTCGGTCCGCGAGCTCAAGCGACCCGGGTGGCCAGGTCCCTGTGATTATAGCATCGAGCCCTTATGGAACAGATAGTAGTATACTTTTCATCTCACACATTCATGCGGATTACAAACAGCTGATTGATACAGCGGGCCACTCATACGATTACCTGGGACCGTTCCGCTGTGGTCTCAAGCAAGGTCAAACTTCCGGATACGAAAGCTTCGAGGCTCCTGTTCCAGCCGATTGGTGTGCTAGAGGCTATGTCGTCATCAACCCTGACTCTCGTGGATCATTTGAGACTTTCGCCAAGGCAAAGTCCACTCAGAAGTGGCTTCGGGTTCATCATATGCAAGAATGTAAGCTGTCCTCAAGAGCTTACGACGCATCTGACTGATGACTTTAGGGCACGACGTGTATCGCAAGAATAACGACGAGCTCCAGAAGCTTTTCGACAGGTATTGCAAAGGAATCTCGAATGATTGGGAGCAGACACAAGGCTTCGACTGTCCCTTCTTGGCTTCGATGGCAGTCCGGCAAAGACTATCGTGGAGCGCGTGGAGGTCGCTTTTCCGGTCCCGGGAACCGAGTATCGCACATCCTTCCTCGATGCTACGACTTTGACGTTGTCACTCGAGAAGTCGGCAGCTGAATCAAACACAAGTTATGAAGCGCATCATCCGACTCACTACACAGACTTCAGCGTTCGTTTTCACGAGTATATAGAGGATTCTGGATATCCTGTAGTCAAGTTATAGATATCGTGTGACGAGCATAACGACATGGACGTGAATATACAGATTCGGAAGATTAACGCCAATAGAAAACTACTTACCAGCCTCAATTACCTATACCCTGTACCAGCCGAGGAGGTCGCTAATACGAATATCGCTATGTTTCTGGGTTGCGATAGGGTATTAAGGGCTAGCCATCGAGTTTCAAAGGAGATTATAGACGGGCTTCTGAAGTATAGGCACAATTAATCTAAAAGGTTCTTTTAGGAACTATTATAGATCTTAAGATTCCTCTATAGCCTATTAATATAGTCTTTAAAAGTAATAAGGGAATTATTTTAAGGGCTATTAAATATAAATTATAATTACTAAAGCTTAAGGTACTTAAGAATAAAAAACATATAGATAATAATATTAAAAGGCATTAAATATATATAGATAAATAGTAATATAGTTATTTAAAATTACCTATTATTACTAGCTATAAATAAAATATCTTAATTAATTACTTAAGTATTTTAAATAAATAATTATAGCTATTTAATTATTAATTAAAGCATTATTTTAATTAAATAAATACTTAAATTTAATAAAAATATATAGTTAATAATTATAAATCCCTAGTTTAACCTACTATTATAACCCTAGCGGTTATATTATATATACCCTATAAATTTTACTTCTTATTTAACTAATTATAGTATAATATATATAAAGATAACTAATATTAGAATACTATTATTTTATAAAATGCTATATCTTAAGAATAACTATATCCCTAAATATTATTATCCCTTATAAAATAGCATTAATATATAGAATATATTTATTTACACTTTTATAGACTTAAGCTTACTAACTATTAATAAAACTTCTTTATATTAATTAAGCCTAATATATATTAAATCTACTATTAAGAGATATAATACTTTAATAACTACTTAGTATTACGCCCTATATAATCTACTAATAATAAACCTAGCACAGCTTAGTTTATCTATAGTTAGGAACTAACTGTTATATAGGGCATAATACTAAGCAGTTATTAAAGTATTATATCTTTTAATAGTAGATTTAATATATATTAGGCTTAATTAATATAAAGAAGTTTTATTAATAGCTAGTAAGCTTAAGTCTATAAAAATGTAAATAAATATATTCTATATATTAATGCTATTCTATAAGGGATAATAATATTTAAAGATATAGTTATTTTTAAGATATAATATTCTATAAGATAATAATATCTTAATATTAGTTATCCTTATATATATTATACTATAATTAGTTAGATAAAAAGTAAAATTTATAAAGTATATATAATATAACCGCTAAGGTTATAATATAATCTCTCCCTTCCTTTAGGTCTTATCTTTAAGACCTATATACCCTATTTATATTAAATTTTACCTAATATATTTTAATTTAAACTTTTTATTATTATATTATATAATATTTAACTATATTTCTAAATAGTATTTTTATAAAACTTATATAGACTATAAGTTAGAGAGACTTAAAAAAGAGCATAATATAGTAAAACTTACTAAATCTATTATATTATTTAATAAATAAGCTAATATACTATATACTTATTATTTTTAAGCTAAAACTAGAAAGAAATATCTAATATCTTTTAATTCTAGTTAGTATAGTAAATATATATATAAGTAAAAACCTTATAATAGAATATAAGTAATATCTTCTTATATATACTTTTTCTTACCTTTTTTTATTTTTACTAATTTTTTTAATATCTTCCTTTATAAAATAGAAAAAAAAACTTAAAGTAAATAAAAATAAAGCTAATAATAATCTTTTTAAGCTTTATAAGGAAATAATAGCCTTATAAACTTACCTTACTGCTACTACTAGATACTTATTCTATATTTAGAAGATTTAGGCTAAAGTAAAGGAAAAATATTTAAAGGCTATATATTATAGTCTTTAAGAGGTTAAGAAAGAGGATAGTATTTTATTTATATTAAATACTTATAAAGATACTATAGTATATAATCTTTAAGTAGACTATATTTTTAATAATATTAATTAATCCTCTTTAGGCCTAAAAGATAATTTTTTAAATATATTACCTTTATTTAAGTTTAGTAAAAGTTCTTTAGGAGCTGCTAGGTATTAATAAGATATTTTAGTAGTTTTTATATATTTTTATTTTTTAGGTAGTTTCTCTATTTTATTAAGTTTTCTCTTTAGCTGTTAATTTTATATATATCATTAATAGCTTTTGCTTTATAGACTTCTAGTTTTAAGATTTCTTATAGTTTATTGCCAGTTTTAACTTATATTATATTTACTGCTAATTTAAATAATAAAATATAAAAGATTAAATAGAACCTAACTTTTAGTAATAGGTCTAGTTTATAGTTATTTTTTAAGATTTTTTATAGTATTTTATAAAGTCTAATAAACTTATAGTCTAATTTATATATTAATTAGTCATTTTAATATTTTTTATAGCTAAATAGACTATATTTTTCTTTAAAAAGGTTAGTCCTTTTAACTATTTTAGGTTATAGTAATTCTTTATTTATTTTCTAATAAATTTAAGTTCTATTTTTATTTCTTTATATAGGTTTTTTATATTATTACTTTTAATAATAGCAGCTAGGTTAATAGATTTTTCTTATTATATATTATAATATATATTTAGTATAAATCTAAAGTTTATAAATAATAGTATAAATTTTATACTTTTATTATATATAATATTATAGGTAAGTTAGGCTATTAGTAGTTTCTTAACTTAATTATTTTATTTATAGTTAATATAATACTGTAGGTACTATTTAAGTATTTAGTTTATTTATTTAGTTTATCTATTAACTTATAGTCTAAATGCTATTATAAGTTAATAGTTTAATTTAAATCTATCTATAAGTAATTACTAAAATATTACTGTAAATATACCTCCTCTATCTAAAAGGATTTCTTTAGGCAGTCTATATATATTAATAATATATCTATAAGAAATATAAAAAAGTTATTCTATATCTATTAATTTTTAGTATAAAATATAATATAAAAATTTTATAAGTTAGTTAACTATAATTATAATGCTATTATAAAAGATTTTAGTTAAGGGTTTTTCTAATAAGAGTAACTTTATAATAAAGTCTATTATAATTAAGTCTTAAAGTTATTATATTATTAATAAAGGTTATAGTTATCTATAAGGTTTATATTATTATATTTTTATTCTAGTATATAAGTTATATTATTTAATAACTTTTTTAATTTTTTTTTTTTTAACTTTATCACCTTATTTTTATAGTCTTTTAAGTATTTTTATTATTTCTTAATATCTATATAATAAATATAAATAAAATTTATAAAAGAAATTATATTCTTTATCTATAGTTTTAGTAATTATTATTTTTACTATTATTTTAATAGGTTATATAAATTAATATTCTCCTTTAAAGTTTATTTTTAGTAGTTATTATTTTATTTTTATAATTTCTATATTAAAATTATATTAGTAGCTAATAGTATTTATATATCTATTATTAATGCCTTTATAGTATACTATAGTAAAGTTAAATTTATATAGGTATTTAATATAATGTAATTATTATTAATTTAGCTTTTATATTATTATAAAGTAAGTTATATTCTTATAGTCAGTAAATACTTTTACTAGATATTTACTTTCTTTAAGGTAATACCTAAACTCCTTAAAATAGTTAATAATTACTAAAAATTCTTTATTATAAATAAGGTAATTAAATTTTACTCTATATATTTTATAAGAATAAAAAGTAATAAAGTATAGTATACTATTATTATTATATTATTCTATTTATCCTCTTAAGGTATAATTAAAAGTATTAATCTTAAGTTTAACTTACTGTTTTAGGTTAAATATAACTAGAACTAATTTATTTATAATAGCTATTTTAAGCTATTTAAAAGCTTTTTAAGTCTTATTATTCTATTTAAAGGTTTTATCTTTTTTAATAATTTTAGTAAGTAATATAGTAATTTTACTAAAGTTCTTAATAAATTATTAGTAATAGTTAGTAAATCCTAAAAAGGATTATATTTCCTTAACTATTATAAGTGCCTTCTATTTAGTTATTACTGTAATTTTATATTTATCTATTTTAATTTTATTATATAATATTTTATAACCTAAATATATTATTTAGTTTTAATAGAAATAACTTTTTATAAGTTTAATAAGTATATTAATATCTTATAGTGCTTTTAAAACCTTATAGATATATTCTATATACTCTTTTTTTATATTAAAGAAAATAAAGATATTATTTAAATAGTAAATTATAAAAATATTAAAATACTTTTAAAATATATTTATAATTATATATTAGAATACTGCTAGTATATTTATTAATCTAAAGGGAATAATTAGGTATTTAAATAATCTATATTTTATTCTAAAGGCTATTTTTTATTTATTACCTTCTTTAATTTAAATAAGATTATAGGCAGACTTAAGATTAAGTGCTATAAACTATTTTTTATTAAATAATTAGTCTTTAAGTTTAATAATAAGTAGTAATAATATTCTATCTTTTTTTATAATCTTATTTAATTATTAGTAGTCTACTATAAGTCTTAGTTTATTTAAGTTTAGTTTTAGTATAAATATAACTAAATATCTAGCTAAGGATTTTAAGGTTTTAATATATCCTTTTTTTAATATATCTTTTATTTATTTATTAAGTATATTAAGCTTTAATTAAGTAAGGTTATAGAGTAAAAAGAATTTTAGGTTTTTACTATCTTTTAATATAATTTTAATATTATAACTTATATATTGAATTAACTTTATTTTTAATTCCTCTTAAAATAATTTTTTATAGATATTATATTTTATAGGTATATTTTTAAGTTACTTATTAAATTCCTTTTTAATAATCTATTTTATCTTTTAGAGATTTTAGTCTAGTTATTTAAACTATTTTTTAAGAGTTATTATTATTTATTTAATATATTTATTTCTGCCTTTATAGAACTTATATTATATTTCTTTTAAAATA